GGACCCACATCACTTCAGGATTTGTTTGTTTTTAAAGTTTACTTTTGGTTTTTCTAGTAGATGTGGTCCAGTACAATGGTGCATGAAAAACTAGATTTTTCAAGTTTTGGAGGCGTTCAAAGTGAATTGTCAGATTATTACTGCATGGATAATGAAGATGATCCATTATTGTAGAATACATGGTTTTATAACAGAAGGAAGGATAGTGTGGGTATAGCATGATGATGATGATGACAATAATGACTTTGATATTGACCATGTAACAGGGAAATGGAGCAAGAATTGACTGATACAGACACAGGGAATACACACCTCCTTAACTCAGATGATGAAGACACCAGCAATATGAGTACATATTTCATTAGTTGAAATGGCCGTACAACCAAATGGAATGATCCTATGTTAGAACTAGGTCAGAAAATAAAATGAGCGATTTGGCAGTAGTGAAAGGTATTATTGGATAGAATGCCAGTGATGTCATTCAGTGTTGTTGGAAATTGTATCAGATGAAATGCTACAGGATACTGTGAAATACACAAAGGCTGAAATGCAAATAAAATTTTCTTTAACATCAATAGTCATTTAAAAATGTATTTATTATAACACCGTACTCACTGAATTGAAAGCATTTATAGGTCTACTGTACTTAGCAGAGATAACTCATGATGATCAAAGGCATGTAGAAGACTTAGGAAAGGGGGCTGGGGTTATGCTCAGCGGCACAAATACCTGCCTGGCAAGTATGAGGTCATGAGTTCAAGCCCCACTACCTCCCCCCACAAAAAAACTTACAGAAAGGTGATGGATCAAAATGTGGCATAAAAATGTATGCCTTTGTAGATGTGAAGACTTATTATGTTTTCAGTTTAGAAATTTATCCTGGAACTCAGCCACCAGTTCCTTATTTATATAGTAATAAACCAAATCATGTTATGAACAGACTTGGTGCTCCTTCTCCCAAACTAATCAGAATGTGACATTCGATTGGTAACAAAGCACAAATTGACAAGTGCAGGAACTTTACACAAAACTAAGGAGAAGTTCCAAATGAAGTGATGTTGCAATTTCAAAACAATCCTATAGTACAATCTTTGGATTTTAGAAAGATATAACATTGGCCTCCTTTATGGGACAGAAAAACAAACCTCACCATGTTGAAAATATAAATTGGGAAACCTTGACAAAACAGAACCCTGAGAAAGAAACTTTCAATAACAAGACTGAAGATAGAGTAGATATTTTTGATAAATTATGCAGCAACTGTGATCTTACTTGAAACAAAGTATTGACTAGTGGTTGTGTTATACTCCTTCCTAAACATGTTTGACATAAATAGTTTAATAGCACAAAATACCATGGTGAAATTTTCTTAGATTGGCATTGGAGCTCAAAAGAGATCATTTATAGCAGAGGAAAAGCAAAATGTTTCTGCCCAGGGAATTATGCAAAAACCTTGTGAGCACACTGGTAAGTCAACTGGTGAACAGGCAGGTGCGGCATCACAAAGACCTGAAAACATGAAAACAAAAAAGATGTCAACTGTGTACTACAAGAAAGTACAAGAAAATAAAACATACTTGCTGGACCAGGGATATAGCTCAGCGGCATAGTGCTTCCCTGGCAATTATGAAGTCATGAATTCCATTCCTGGTCCCCCCTCCCCCCCACCGCCGAAAGAAATCATACTTGCTGTCAGGGTAGTGATACTTGTGTATGGAACATATAGTTGTCATATATGAAGATTGCCTTGAGTGTGACAGTTGAAGCAAAGCTTATTTCTATGGTAGACTTTTGTTTGTATTTATACTGTAATTCACATAGCTTTTTATTTTTGATGTTTGTCTTTTAGGTTTTATAAGCAAGTAAACAACTTATGTGAAAATGTTGATCTTTATTCTAAGCATTCATTGCATACTTGATATTGTACTTTATTGACATCTATTTCCCCACTAAATGCATATTGTACAATATAATGGGAAGCTCCTGGCAAAACAGGAAGAGAGGTGACAAGATTGCCATACAGGGAGTAAATGTTAAGCACATTTGCTTGTCAATGTAAGCAAGACATGTGCATGGAATACATCCTGTGAAGACTGCCTTGGGTGTGACAGTTGAAATAAAGTTTATTTTTGTGGTAGAGTTCTATTGATATTTTCATTTTTGTTTGTTTGTTTGATTTTTACCTAGGGTCTTTCTTTGTAGTTCAGACTGGCCTCAACTCACTATGTAGACCATGCTGGCCTCAAATTCAGGGCATTCATCCTACTTCAGCCTCCCAGAGTGCTGAGATTATAGACATGTGCCATAACACCTGGCTCATGTCTTTAAAAAAAAAAAAAAAAAAAAAAAAGGCAAAATCACTGTTATTTTGGTTTTTTTTTTTTTTTTTTTTTTTTTTTTTTTTTGTCTTTTTGAGACAGGGTCTCACTATGCATTACAGGCTGGTCTTGAGCGCACTTTGTAGTCCAGGTTGGTTTCAAACTTACAGTGATCCTCCTGCATCAGCCTCGCATGTGCTGGATTACAGGCATGTGCCAGCATGCCTGGCTCAAAAACACTGTTATTTTGAAATAATTACAGATTCACAGGAAGATGCCATTCATCATTATTGTCTTTCTAATTAATAATAAAAGTCCCAAGTTTCCTAAAGGAAAGTTGAATATTTGAATTACAGAAATAACATTTTTGTAAGAATTTAGATAGTACAGCTTTTACTGACCAAAAAAATAGTAGTCGCTTACTTACCTCCATTTTTGTCCTTTGTGACAAAATACTAAAAATTTGGTGTCTGAGCTCCCATGTTTCATTTTGTTAGCAAAACAAAAACATGCATTTATATATATGTGTGTATACACATATATACACAGGATTTATATATTCATATGGAAGCAGTTGTGATTATATGTCTCAGGCTTATTCTTTTAAAAGTAGAACTGTAGAATAAACACCTTTTGGAGTTAACACAAATAGATATGCCTTATGACTTAATTTATTTAAAAATTTCCCTATTAATAAATATTATGCTTGAAGTTTTCTCTTAACAAACAGTGCTGCAGAAATTAGCAGGGTGCTTGGTGCACATACATATTTTATATCTTCTTATTTGTAATATGGGAGTAGAGAAAGGCACAAACTCTGAGGCCACAGACTTTATGGAAGGAATACACATAGTAACAACTATTAATTGTATAACTAAGCACAAGGTGATTAGCTGTTATTTCCACTTGTGAAGGACTAATCTTTACTTCCGGTCACAAGAGACTAACTTTGACAGGCTAGTAGGGAGAAAAATTACCTTATTGTTGGCTAAAGAGGTTGATGATCTTTTCCATTTACTCTAGTCACTTGTAATTAGTTTGTGAACTGCCCATTATACTCTGTTCTGATATTTTCTTTTGCATTATTTGCTTATCCTTCCTGCTTTGTAAGATTTCTTTAGATATTCTGGGCACAGAATATATATCCTTTCTTCTGTTGCTTGCATTTCATTTCACAGATATTTATGTTTCCTTCTTTCCATGTTACTAATGTTAAATCATTTGTATCATTTCATGGCTTCTGATTGGGAGAAGGTACACTTAAGAGAGCCTTCTGTATCCTAAAATTTAAAAAAAGAAAGACCCTTTTTTTGTGCTTTCAGCACTTCAGTTGTTTATTTCATTGTATGCCTCTTTAGTCAAGTCAGGCAGGACTTTAATTATAGTATGATTTGGATATATACAGTTTTTGTTTCAAGATCATAGTCCAGAGTTCCAATACTGTTAATATATTGGCCTCTCCTTTCTGTTTCGGTTTGTCATATAGCTCTTATCAAATATTAAAATCTTATAAATTCTTGGTTCTGTTTCTAGGTTCTTTAGTTATTTTGTCTAATTTGGACTAATAGAAAATTATTTAGATTGCTGTAACTTTGTGGTAGTAGGATATTCAGTACCCTTATAAAACTAATCCATTCTTTTTTATAAGAAGCTTCAAGATTAGTTTTGTGCGTTCATCATTCAGTGTAAATTTTGAATTCGCTTGTCAAATTATTTGTAAAAAAGGATTTTGATGGGCATTGTATTCAATTATAGATTAGTCTGCAGCCTATTGGTTTCAACTTGAACTAGCAATTTCAATGTAGCAGTGACTTGTAGCCTAAACTATTACCTAAAAATTTCCAACTCTCCATAATCTAGTAAGATACATTTAATTTTTTTAACTAAATGTTTGGGATATGAAAGTCTGTTCTCTCCTTCCCTTTTTTTAAGGCAGTGTCTTGTCTTGTAGTTCAAGTTGGCCTTGCAATTACTCTGTAAATTTCCAGGATGACCTGGAAGTCATAATGATTCTCCTGCCTCAGTTTCCCAAGTGCTAGGATTACAGGCATTCACCACCATATCCAACATTCTTTCTCATATTCCTTACAGGCTTTTCATGACATTACCATAAGAATGCTTGTATAAAATATATCATAAATTTTCATTGGCATAGTACTACATAATCAATTGTAAACAGATTCTGTAACCTATTTTTTTTTAGGTTTAGCATGTATTTTCTATGGCAAGAGCTTGACGTTCACATGCTATTAGATGTTTATACTTCCTCTTTTTCATTTGACCTTGTAAATTGTGATGCATTTTAGAATGCTTTCATACTCTTTAGGTACATGATATGTTTTATATTTCACATCAGAGATGAGATGATTTTGAGTATTTTCAAGCTAAAATGGTTCTGTATCTTATTTTCCTAAAATGTATTATAATTAGTGCTGTATATTACTGTTAAATGTTTTACTTAGCAAAAGGAAAGTTTTGTCTGTTTCTGTTAAATCAAAATAATTAATGCCAGTCCTTTTATATTGATATGCAAAATTTTCAGAAGTCCATTCTGAGATTATAGCAAAAGTTAATATTTTCTAGATTTTTTTCATAATACGATTCTTCATTGTTGAATATAATATTCAACAATTAAATATTCTTTCCAGTGGTAAACAGTACCTTTTTTTCTCCTTAATGCAGGTCTACAAAGTTCTGCGTTTTAGCTCTCAGTGCTGAACTTTCTTCTCCCTTAAATTATTATAAACTTTTTTGCTGCTGTTTAATAACGTGAAGATGTCTCGCAGTCCTGATGCAAAGGAAGACCCTGTGGAATGCCCTCTTTGCATGGAGCCCTTGGAGATAGATGATATCAACTTTTTCCCTTGCACCTGTGGCTACCAGATTTGCCGATTTTGTTGGCATCGAATTCGCACTGATGAAAATGGGCTTTGTCCTGCTTGTAGAAAGGTAAATGCCTCAAAGTAACTTTATGACTTTATTATTTGTTTGAACTCTACAGTTTTTCTTTTACTTTACAGTTTTAATGTATAGGTTTTTACCTCCATCAGTTTGGGTGATTTGTTTTAAAACAGTCTGCAAACCTCAGGTAAGAATCTGTGAAGCATTTTATCTTAAGGCCATAATGAAGAGGAAAGAACACTACAGTGGGAGTCAAGATCAAGTCTTGGCTTTGTTGATAACTAGCTGTATGACCTTGTTGAAGTTACGTATCCTGAGAAGATAGGCACAATCATTGGGAGATGTTTAGAAGTAGAGAAGTAAAGGATTTGGATAGTATGATATGAAATCAGAAAAGCACATTCTGTATTATGTGATGGAAGGAATTCATCTTAATTTTTTAGCACAAAATAGGAGAAAAGATGTTTACTTAAAGTCAAAATGACAGAGAAATCATGGTCCTGAATAGATTATCACCTCATGTTTTGAGCCCTTATAACAATTCTAGGCTGACATTGCCATTTCTGTTTTGCACTTGTCCAGGGTCATCAACTTTTGGATAGTAGGTTTAGGATTCAGATGAGTCTTTTGAGTTTGAAATCTTTGTTCTGAAATATTGTATTATTCAAAGCTCCTTCTGACTCTAAAAATCTGTAATTTTTAATACTGTCTGGGTTTTGTTGCACAATTGCAATGTAATAACTGAGCTATTAGGATAGCGAAACTGCTACATTTCTGTTTTGAAGGAATTTTTCTTCAAGTAGGTATTAATGCAAGCATCTGTCATATTATCATAAAATTTGCACTTTCTTTGATGTCTATGTGATATAAACTTTCTTTTATAGTTGGCCATTTCAAAAAGCTCTTACCATCAGATTTTGAGAAAACAGAAATGTGCTTCACATATCTAAAATTTAGAAAATAATCTACCTATAACTTCTGTAAGAGTTGTAAATTTCAAAAAGCATCTTTTTTATATTTAAAAATCTAATTGACTTGTAACATATGCTATATATAATACTATAGTTAAATGTGATTTAAATATTTATGTAGTTATTATATACGGTATATATATAATATGTACCTGTAATATATATTTATATATAATACATAATACAATGGATAATATTTTATTGACTTAGTATACTTTAAGTGTGAGAAGGTAAATGAAAACTTTAATATTTGCTTTGATTAGAATCTATATAAATTTGTATGAATTTTGAGCATTTAGTCATTTTTAAAGTTGATTGTTAGGCATTCTGAAGCAACCAAGCATAATGAATTGTTTTATTGAAAGTAATGACTTTCAAGATCACTCAAAACTCTAAGGAGTGTGAATTTAATTGGCTTCATGAAAATTTTCTCTCTCTTTTTTTTTCCCATGAGAGGTTATAAAGATGAGGTCTTAATAATAAAGATCGGTTGTTAAATTGACTTTGAAGAAAAATGAGTACCATAAGCAAAGTGTTGGAAGATGAGGTTGAGATCTGTTAGAAACTTGTACCAAAGCAGAGTGTGTCCCCCAGAGTGTGTTTATGCACTTGCTAAATGGCACAAAACAGGGAGTATGTTCCAATACCATATCCAACCAGCCACACTGATATTTTCCTTAGGACCTTGAAGCACTGCTGATGCTTTTTCAGTAGTTTTCTCCTATGCTGAGCTTCTGTCTTTCAGACTCCTCACACTTTCAGGTGTTCCTAGGCATTTTTTTCTCCCAGGATTTGAAGTAAACCGAGATAATCTCTTAAAATTGAAATTATTTTCTTTTTATCTTTAAAAGTACTGAAAGACGAGACCACAGTGATACAGAGGGAAATAATTATCAAATATATGATTAAAGTATACTTCCCAGAACCAAATATAGATTTCCTGATTGCAGGGATCTATCAAATGTCAGTATAGTCTTTTATTTTGGGATATCAGAATGCTGAATATAAAGAAATTTTTTGAATTGTCAAAGAAGAAAAAACTAGATCATATATGAAAGATCAAAAATCAGGATCACTGTAGGTTCTAGTCATTGTTATTCACCTGTAACATAAAAATTATGGTCCTCTGTAATTCTTGATCTAAGGAGATCAAAATAAAAATTATATATTATTTTGAATCAATAATTGGAACATTATTTCTCAGAAGTGAGGCCAGTGAGGAATATAGAGGAATTAAAGATATAAATGCATTTGTTAGAAAGCAAGAACAAAATTAAATAAACTCAATTTCCACCATTAGAAATCAGAAAAAGAAAAAAAAAGAATCTGTGCTGATAGTGGGAAGCAGGGAGTAAACAGAATGTGGTGAACTAGAACACATTTTTCAGTAAAAGCTGGAGATAGTTCTCTGACAATAAAATAAAAACATTCTTTGGAAGTCTGATAAAAGAGAAGATCTAAGTCAGTAGCAATGGACTCAAAGGGACATAAAGTACACATGCAGAAGAAACTAATTATAGTAGAAATTACAAATCTTATTTGCTAGTAATTTCTTGCTCTATTAACACTCATTAAAATAATCTATCTAAATGCTTCTCCACAGACAGCCTTGAGGATAATAACTTTAAATAAAACTTTTCTGCTTGTAATTTTTCATTTGATTATGTATTCCTAGAAATTTAATATGTATTTAAGTAAAAAAACAACCACATATATCTATTTTTGTGTTCAATTTTAATACTTGTATTAACTTTATAGGTTGGTCTGTAGTTACTTAAATTTATCCCCCATTTTTATAATTTACCTCTTTTGTATATTACCATATCAGTTATTACTTTTCTGATACTAGGTTTATGTGCAGTTAGATATAATTGATGGTGTCTAAGTTTAGAGGAGAAACTCATAGAATGCATGCTTTTCCAATCTTTTCAGGAAATTTCTGAACAAGTTAAGGTTAATAAGCCTTTATCATGTTTGCCATTTGTGATTAAATTAGCATGTTTTTATTATCCAGAAAATTTTACTGATTTTTTTCCCAGAAATATGAATTTCATTTTCCCTAATAACCGAGAAAAAATTTCACAGACATGTTGTGGGGCTGTAGGGATTTTTTTTTGTTTTTGTTTTGTTGTTGTTGTTTTTTTTCCTGAGGAAAGGTCTCACTGTGTAATTCAGGCTGGTCTTGAACTCACAGTGATCTCCCTGCCTCAGCCTCCCAAGTGCTGGGACTACAGGTATGTGCCACCACACCTAGCCAAAAATGTTAAGATTAAAAAACTAGAATTTATAATTTCTTTTAGATTGCTGGACTAAGATGTATTTGGAGGGTAAATTGTAGTCAAATAATTTGTCCATTTGTTCTTAAGTGTTTTGTGTCTTTTGCATTACATAGCAGTTATGTTCCAACAGAGTTAGGCTAGAAGGCTGATAGAAGTATATTTCCAAAGAAAAAATTGGAAATAGCATAGAAAATAGTCTAGGATAACATAACTAGGCTCTGTATTCAACACGGTGATGTAGAAGCATGCTTGATGAGAGTTGATAGTGCAACCTAATTGTTTTACTTGTTTGTAGTTTGTTTATAGTTTATATAGCTTGCTTTTATTTATATATAGTTTGCTTTACCTTTTTCAAAAATTTACAGTGTTATTTGCACACTGATATAATGGAAACCTTAGCACTTTTCTCAAATCCCACAAGTTCCCAGAAGAATCTGTGATCCAAAACAATAGTTTTCTTATCCTCCTTTCCTTCAGTTTGTTGAGTAACAGTAAAAGGTCTTTTATCATACCTGGTGTTCCGCTTGTGTCATGCTGTGTACCATACCAATAAATACCTTATTTGGCAGAGTCTGATCTGATGGTGGCAGTCCAAGTGTTTATCCATAATTTTAATACTTTCCTTATTATGGACTGGTAAAACATAGTGCATTCTCCCTGCTTTGAAACAAAGCTAAAAACATTTCAGGAATGGATCCTCTGACCCATTCTGGGAAGGGATCGTCATCATTCTAGGTGTTCGTGAAGAGCAGCAGCTTCCAAATGAGCTTGACAATAAGCTTGCCAGAAGGAGCTGCTCAGAAATCCTGGAGTAGAAAACAACCTTTTTATGTGCACATGAAAAATTTAGGTGAGCTACTAGAAAGATATTTTGATTGGTTTATATTTTATCTTTATGCTTTGTATTTTTTAAGACTTATTACATAAGTTTTATATTACTTGTCCCTTCACAGCTCCAGATACCTTGAAGGAATTAAAATGATAAAAAAGATGGATTAAGATTCGAAGGAGATGATATACATACCAAAATGTAGTGGAGAAAGTTTTGAGAGGAAGTGTTGAGAAAAACTCAGATGGGGAAGACTAATTGAGGAATTGAACTGACTTTAATAGATCTTTAACCATTTGGCCCATATATTAAAATGAAAGAAATAATATTTATTCAAAAATGTAGAAGATTTTTTAAGAAGAAAATTAATGGTATTGTATTTCTAATTACAGAGATTAGTTTGCTATTCATTTGGCCAGTACTGAGCTCCTAACTTTCTGTTTGATCCTGGAGGAAGTTTTAAGGATCATATAAATTAAGGGTGCTGAGTGTTTCCCTCTTACAGGTGTGTTGGAGCATGCCAAGTAGGACCAGCTAGCTAAGAGATTCAGACTTTTTAGTTGGAAAATATATAGGTACTTGCACTCTCTGAGACCATTAAGATGTAGTTCATTGATAATAATCAAACTATAAGGTTTTCTTAAAAAGCGGTAAGTTTGAAGTTGAAAGTAGTCATAAAAGGGAATGAACCTGATTTTTGAAGACCTTAGAATAATATTAGTAAAAGTTGAGGAACGTAAAGGAAAATCTTACTTTCTTGATTGCTGTTATTGTTAGTCTAGGTTTGTTCATAAGTTTTGAGGCTTTGTTTTATTTTTAGTTGTTTGATTTATTTTACTTATATACAACAGATGATATGTTAGGGGAATAGCAAGCTTTAGGCTTCTGAATACTCCCCTCAGTCCTCCTTGTTCCTACTTTTTTTCTTTTTGGGCTTGTTTCTTTTGTTTCCTACTCTGGTATTCTGATAGGGACAATTTCCCAACCAATTGTAGTTCCCATTTCTAGGATGTCTTCATATCAAAATTTAAATATTATTGCATTTAACTTATGCTTTTATTTATCATTAATATTTATTTGTAATAAAAATAAAATACTTTGGAGTTCTTATGTGGAGGACATCATTTTCATCTTGCAAGTATTATCTCTTGATTTAGAAACAGCTGTGGTTAATGGGCCGAGGATTTAGCTCAATGGCATAAGTGCCGACCTGTCAAAGGCTAGGTCATGAGTTCAAGCCCAAATACCAAAAAAAAAAAAAAGAAAGAAAGAAAAAAACATTGATTGATCTGTAGTTAAAATACTGTGCTTCCCATTTTACAGATGTGTAGACTGAGGTAAAATAGTCACATGATCTCAAAATGAGATAGGATTCAAAACCAAGCATTCTGACTTCACAGCTCCTGCTTGGGCCACAAATTCCCCTGACATTAGCAGTAGGAATGAAAATGATACCATAATTATGAGATGGAAAAGATAAAGACACAACAGTAAAATTGCTAGTATGCATTGAGGACTTCCTATGCTAGGTGCTATAATAATTGCTTTATGTATGTTGTTTTATCCTTATATGAATCTTTAAAAGACTGTTTTCATTTTTTTATGATGTTACTAAGGCTGAATCTAAGCCCCATATAACTAGAAAGTTTTAAAACTAAATTCAGACTTCTGAGCCAGACTATCTGGATTCTGTTATTATGACATGAAGGTATGGACCCCTATTTTGAAGTGAACGAGAGACACTATGGCAGCCATTGTTGACTTCCTTATTGTCTGGTTTTGAAGCCCTAAATTGCTTTCATCATCCTGTTCTGATCAGTTTAGTACTACTTTGTTTTGTATGAATTCATTATATGTGACGATATGAACAACTATTTGAAAAAAAACAAGAGATAATATGATAGTGAAGATTTCCTGTTGTCTTACTTTGAAATCTGTATCTTACATTGTTTTCTTATGATCTGTTTTGTTCTGTTTGATTTTACCCATTTTAAAATAAAATTTAAAAAAAGATATATGATTTCATTAATCTTTTACCACATAGTAGGCTTTCATTCCAGATTTATTGATTATAATACATAAAATTGACATTTAAATGAGAACTTTTCTTTGTCTCTTACGTAGTACTTTATAAGCTTAATTTTCCTGGGAACTGTGCACTACTATCAGGATAAAGAAGCATTGTTGTTTTTTAGAAACTTTGACATTTTGGTGCTAAAAATAGTATGTGCTAAGCTTCAGAATATAAGTATTTCTAGAACTATTTTAGTATTTAACTTTTTGTTAAATAAAATAATTTAAGTAATATATTCAGAAAAAAGAAAAATGGTATACGTATTACCCAGTATTGGATAATTATTATTCTTTTTTTGGTCTTTTTCGTTTTTATCGGTACCAGGGATCGAACTCGCGACTGCCTGCTTGCAAGGCAGGCTCTTATGCCGCTGAGCTAAATCCCCAGCCCCGGATAATTATTATTCTTACAGTTTTTGTATTTAATGCTAACTTCTGTTTTTGTGCTTATAGCCATATCCAGAAGACCCAGCAGTTTATAAACCACTTTCCCAGGAAGAGCTACAAAGGATAAAAAATGAGAAAAAACAGAAACAGAATGAGAGAAAACAGAAAATATCAGAAAATCGCAAACATTTGGCCAGCGTGCGTGTCGTACAAAAAAACCTTGTCTTCGTTGTAGGTTTGTCTCAGCGCCTAGCAGACCCAGAGGTAAGTCTTTTCTGTTTTTGATGTTAACGACACATTTTCTGTTTGCTTGTCTTACTTGGAAATAACAATTGACCCTGTTGAACTGTAGGGGTCCCCTGAAAAAAATCCTGGGAAAAAATAAAAAATGACTTTTCAATACTTGCTAAGAAAACAATGGCCAGTTATGGTTTAGACCAATGGTTTAATGGTTTAATCTTTCTTGGTCTGAGTTCTTGTAAAATATATATTTGTGATATATAATATATTTGTTTGTTGGTTGGGTTTTTTTTTTTTTTTTGCTTTTTGCTGTTTTTTAATTTTTTTTTTCTTTTGGTCTTTTTTGAGACAAGATCACATTATGCAGTTCAGGCTGGACTTGAGCCTAGGCTGATCTCGAATTTGCAAGGATTCTTCTGCCTCAGCCTCATTAGTGCTGAGATTACAAGCGTGCACCACCACATCCAGCTTAATTAGGTTTTGAAGTTCCCTTTAACACTGAAAATCCGTGAAAATGAATAATGATTCTGTTTTGCCTTATGGCTAACATGTAACATGAATACTGGTTCTTTTCCTCTTTTCTGTAGCTACGTAAGTAGCAATAATGAAGATGCAGTTACTTGAACACACAAGAAAAGTTAGTAACGTGTTTTTAATCATGCCTAAGTAGTAATTCTTGGATTTTTTTTCTCCCAAAAAACTATTGTTATACTTTATCATCATCCTTTACTTACTCATTCTAAGCCAATTTTGGGGAAAGAAGTCAAATTTAATTAAATGAAATAAAAGACTATATTCTTTGTCACTCATTTTGATCAGAGTAGATCTTAACCATTTTTGGCTTCTTATTACTTTTGTGCTTATAGCCATACGCTTCTCTCCTTCTACCACCGGCCTTAATATTGTTGAGCTCGTACTTTCCTTGAAATCCTTGGATAAGTATCTGCTAATTTTTAATTTGATGAACTGCAAGGTGCTGGCTACATTACTGGGAAAACAAGTAGGAGCTGATTGATAGCCACAGTGTTTACTTTAATAGGAGGGAGCTGGACTGGGGGAAAGTTCTCTTCCAAGTACATCTTGAAAAATTTTTAAAGTAATGTTCTTTATGATACTAATCAAAGTGAGAATTGTAGTGAAGGTATTTAAGGAGATAGGAATCCTCAGATTTGCCTGAGTATGCTAGAAGCCCTAGAAGGAGAAACTTTAAGAAGTCTAAAATGTCTGTTTTTGCAAAAAAGTGATTTAGAGAGAATAATAACTATTTATTGATGATTAAATTACAATATATTGAAGCTATAAAACTTCAAAATCAATAGCGGTGTAAGAGGAACAATGCAGATGGATCTATCATAGATAATAAGTATGGTGGCAACTCAGGAATTACTGTGAACCTAGGCATTAGATGGTAGCAATGGTGACCATTTTCAACCTATGTGATATTCAGAATAGGTTCTTTCCATAACTAAAGAGTAGAGCAGAGAGCTCATTTTAGGCCAGTGACACAGCTTCAGCAAAATTTTTTCTATTTCCTGAGCTTCTGTTTTCTGCTTACTCTATAGGCGGACTACCTATCTCAGTCATGACCATTTCCTTGAACATGGCTGCAGTTCTGCACTACACTTTCTGTTTTTCAGCTTTGCCTTTGTCTACCCAGAGTATACTTGTGCTTCTTTATTCCTCCTAATCTTAATGCTTAGTGTTGACTTTTGCCTTTCCAAAACTGCTGCTTCAATAAACAAATAAATACTTGTTTTAATACATCTTGCATTTGGTCACTTCTAGTATTGGAGACTATGGAGCCACTTACAAAGGTAGAGGAAATTAAGTTATGCTTTGAATCTTGTATTTGGATTATTGCCTCTTTTGAGTATTTGATTTGTAAGACTTTACTCACAAAGCGTTATTTCTACTTTATTTATATATATATATATCTAGATTAATCTGAAGAACTATTGTATAAATAAAATTAAACAGTGATAACTAGTAAGAATACTTTATCATGATCCTGAGAATACCTTAAAAATCACAAGTTTTATACTTTAAAATCATTAGTTTTTGATGAAAAGAAATAAATTTTCTTAAACTTTGGTTCCTAAGAACAGAAACAAAGTGCTTTGATTTTTATTGAATACTACCACTTCTTCGTGTCTTTTTTTTTTTTTTTTCCCCTGGTACTGGTACTGGGGATTGAACTCATGACCTCACCCTTGCCAGGCAGGTGCTTATACCATTGAGCTAAATCTTCAGCCTCAATGTCTTCTAAGATTATTATATCTATATAACTTTTTAAGTTTTTGGAAAATTTAAAGTTTCCACTAGAAAACGCAAAAGAAGTTTCAAATTCTCAGTACATCTTTAAGACAAAGATCTCTATAATTTACTTACCTTTGAATGATGAAAAGTTTGGTATTTTACTAAATCAAAGCAAGTGTTGTAAGAATAAGGCTTATTTTGAAATAATTTGTGTACAACAGAAAACTTGCCATCAATACTGATTGCCAAGTATATTTATATTCTGTGGTCAATAGAAAACATCTTAGAAGATGTGGTGATGAAAGGTAATGGTTAGAGCACTATCTTTATAAGTCATAAAATTTTAAGTTTGTAGAGATCTACTTCATTCATTCTACAAATGAATTTCTTGAATATATACCAGGTCCTCTGAGAACTTTGCTGTTGTAGATGTTAGCAAGTCAGATACAGACTACCTTTACTAACCGTATTACCAAGAGTATAGCATAGTAGAGAAGCACTATAAATGTGGTGAATGCTTATGATATGGGAGGTGCATAGTTCTCTTGGACTGTAGAATAGCAGGGTGTGCAATTAGATATTCACAGAAAGCTTAGCTGAGCAGTGGGTGAAGAAGATAGGCTTGAAGAATTCATGGGTGTAGCTGGACAGCTGATAGGGACAGTCGTGTCTCAGATGTGTATATGTTAGCCTGAGATAGCATTCATTTGGTTTGAGGAACCTAGAAGCTTGTTAATATATACCATTTCATTTTATAAATGAGAACCCAAGGCAAAGGAAAGTTGAGTGACCTGCCTGTGGGCATAGAGCACTTAATGTAGTATATTCTATATAGTGATTGCTTTGTTCTTCATCTATTTACTTTTGTGTTCACTCAAAATCCTTCTGATTACCAGTTTTTTCCTGTAGTGTCTATGAATAATTGACTGTGATCCTAAAAATTGTATACCAGGAAATTTACTCATTCAGTCATGTAATGTAGTCTTGTTTGTACTCTGTTATTGCTAAAACTGGCCCACTCTCAAATATATAATATCAAGCATATAAATAATATGCTAAAGTACAGAACACTCTCTACTTCCCATATCTTGTACTTTATTCAGTAGAATACTGTTTTACTAATGTGTCAGAATCTGCAGTGTTCAGATCAATATTCCCTGTCCCCCGTTACATGTCAGCACCTGGCCATTTGTAAATACTTGGAGTGTCCTGAATCGTTCAGCGTTAACACTATTCAGTTTTTCCATAAAAATTTGTTAAATAACTACAATGTGTCAGTCACTATATAAGACACTAACAAACAAAATTTATAAAAGTGACAGTGTAGTATGAAAAATGCTATGCATTATGGTGGCCCAAGGGGTAGCACCAGATCTTGCAGAAGAAGTATATGTTCCATTGGTGTCATTTGGGTAAAGTGCTTCTGGCACAGGAATTATACACATGCTTCCAGATGAGAAAGACCTTCATCTGCGATCTGATGTATTTGACTGGAAGATTAGAGTGCAGTGGTGAGAGATAAGGTTGGCAAGGTAAGTGGTGATGATTATAAAGGGCCTTTAACCATACTGAGGAGGTTGTACTTCATCCTGTAGTCAGTGGGAAGCAGTGGCATGTTCTTAAGAACAGAATGATATGGCTAGATTTCTACTTTGAAAAAGCCATTCTGCATGCAGTGTGGACATGCCAGGGTAATTACATACCAATCTTGTGTTGTTACACCTTAATTTTTGCCAAAAGCTATTTTTTATAAACTACGGTCTTCAGCCCTATCAGTTACATTGCCCACTTTTAAAAAACTAATTTGATGTATACATTATTACCTCTTTCCTTTCATTGAATGACTTCATGATAATATAACCTTTTTCCACATGTATTGAAAAAATACAGAGAGAGGAGAAACAAAAAATGCTTGCTTGGACACCACTACTATAGAACCTTTTTCAAGATGTAGTCTGTTGGCCAATAGCAGCTATACTAATGTGGATTTATCATGCATAGACCTACTGGATCTGAATGTACATTTAGCTAGTTCCTCAAAGGACATGTGTGTGCATTCAGGTTCTTGAAGTGCTATTTTTACACTACAAAATAAGTAGTAAGGTGCACATATTTGTTGAATCACTGAACATAAATACAAATAGAAATTATAAAAGTAGTGGGTTGAAGGGAAATTAAGGTTGAAGTAGTTGCAGATCATATCATGGAAGACATTTTTATATTAAATTGTGTTGACTGAATTAAGCAAGGTTAAACAAGTTTGTGAAGGTACCTAAAAGAGTGTATAGGGCCATTATAAAATAATGGAAATGAGGTAAGTGTGAAGGGAAATAGCCAAGAAGTTACCAGATAATTGAGAAAGAAATGTATATACTTGTTTTGGAGATTGACAGGGAGTGGTAGTAGTGGTGGTGTTTATGAGACAAATGAGAAATGGTAAAATTGACATTAGAAACACTATTCATAAAGTAAATCAAGACATAAGTGTTGAAGGGACACTTAGTATGTTTGTTATTTATGAATAATGTTTTAATAAGCAATAGATTTATGAGAAAAGACTCAATGTCAGTTCTTTGTGTCTCTGCCTGTAGTACTTAATTTTGGTCATTGTATTGAGAGCTGTTTTCTCTTAAGGGTCATATATTAGTGACAGTACAATTAAGGTTTGATCTCTGTATTTTTAAGACTACTATATAATATCCCATAGATGTTGGTTTAGTAATAGAACATAATAGATTATGCCAGACAGTCTCAGTTTCTATTCAAGAAGTCATAGCTTTTAGACTCTTTAGATTTCTTGTAGGTTACCTACATAAATCACAGTTAGAAATTAATCATATTTATTGGAAAACGTTTAAAATTACTGTTTTCCTATTGGGGACCCGGCAAAGAGTCCTGATTGTCTGTGTTAAGGTATGGTGAAAAAAAAAAGAAAAAGAAAAAAGAAAAACAGAGACAAATTTAGTAATACCTGAATGGCTGGAAAGTCAGTATCTCCTGAAGAATCCTCCCCTTCATACTCCTGAATAGCCACTATTTATTGAATGTATACAGTGGTAGGCGGGGTTAGCAAAAGATTCTATTTCATTGGAAGACTCAAAGGTTTATGACTCTGGGCAAGTATAATCCTGATATGACTCCAAGAGGGCATAGATGATTTTATGCTAAGAAGAGCATAAAAATCTTAGATGGGTGGTACTGACAATCCCAACCCTCTATTTTATTTCTTAAGGCAGAATGCAGAATTAGCCATTGTGAATTTGTGGTCTCCAGCATTTTCCTTTCAATGAAAAGGGATGACATGTGTTCCCATTATAAGGATAATAACTGATGAAAATAGGAGTAGTTCATACCTTATTTTTCTTCTTTTATAGGTTTTAAAACGACCAGAATATTTTGGGAAGTTTGGTAAAATACATAAAGTTGTCATCAATAATAGCACATCATACGCAGGCTCACAGGTAACTAATTATAGGGAGTTTTCCCTTTCTTCCCTCATGGTCTGGGCTTGATGTGGGTTGTTCAGAAGGAAATTTGCTCTTTGTAATTAGGAAAGTAGAGAGTAAAGAATTTAAGCAGTGTAGTGACCTCTGTTGGTAGGTGGGGGAATTATTGGTATTTACTTGACTTTTCCAGGATTTAGCAATGTTAATAGTAATCAAAAAGATAATATTAAATAAAAGATTTATTAGTAGAATATAAAGGGATGGAAGAGTTGGTAATTGTTAATTAGATAATTTATAATTGGTGATATTTTTAGATATTAAAATCTTAATAAAGCAACTTTGCTATTGATATTAGCAAATTGAATGCTTACATTTTGCATTTATTTTTGATAGACTATAATGTAACAAATCTTACTTTTGATCTAAATTTCAAATTTTTATAACCTTTAAGAGCCCGTCAGATGACTTCTTAATAAAATAAATGCCGAGCCAAAGATACTTTATCTGTTGTAGTTGATTTAGAATGAAATAAAGTTCAAGTATGATTCTTATAAATGACGTAGTAGTGCTTAAAGCCACTAATTATTATGGTTAGCAATAATAGAGTATTAATAAAGCCTGTATTAATAAAGCCTTTTAGAATTCTGTATGCAGGTTGCAAGAGAATTTTATTTTTCAGTAGTATGTCATTTGAAACCAATAACTGCAGGCTGGGATTTTTTCATTCTAGGGTCCAAGTGCCAGTGCTTATGTCACCTACATTCGGTCAGAAGATGCTCTCAGAGCCATACAGTGTGTCAACAATGTGGTAGTAGATGGCAGAACACTGAAGGTAATGTGATCCTCTTGATTTTTCCTTTTAAGGGGAAAGGATAAGATGTAGTAAGTAGAGAAGAATCTAGATTTACATATGAACTTTAAAAACAATTCATTTGAAGGTTGTAAGTCACCCATATCAGCCTGTGATAATTGATTGGTTTGCTGTTGACTTACAGGTTCCTGTTTTACCAGATAAGAATAAGTACATTCATTGTTATCACATAATCTCAAAATATCTTGTTTTTACATACCTTTTATTTTGTGAAAATTTAATCATTATCTTCCTCACCTGATCCAAGTTTGATTGAACGGTTCCACCAAACGGTGATTTCTATAAATGAAGGAAGGATGACATAATTAGAAAAAGAAATTTGCCTTCTGTGTTTTAGCCACTGATAGCAAAGAACAGATTTTTGTATCTCTTTTCATGTTATCTAGAGAAGATTTGTTTGAGTTTTGGAAACTATAGACTGAGATGTTTTCCTTAGTTCTTCCAAATAAGAGTCATTTGTAATAAATCCTATTAGATCCTATTCAATTACTCAGTGTTCTTTGTCATAGTTCTTGTTTTGTCCTACCTGTGCCTTGTTTTGGGTGACATGAAAATACTAAACATGGAGATTCTCATTGTTCTCTCAGTTCACGTTTTGAGTTCTCTTTTGTCCTCTGCCCTCTTCTTGCAGGCATCTCTAGGTACAACAAAATACTGCAGTTACTTCTTAAAGAATATGCAGTGTCCAAAACCTGACTGTATGTATCTACATGAATTGGGGGATGAGGCAGCCAGCTTCACAAAAGAGGAAATGCAGGTAGTAAAGTCCTATGAACTACCAACTTTATGCAAGATGGAGTACTTTGTCTTCATAAGTTAAAACTGTAAACATTAAAAACTAGGGATATGACTTTTTAAAAACTGACACTACTTTAAAATTGTGTTTTCTAAATATCATGTTCTGTGAAATGTTAATTTTGTGGGATATGGATGAGTCTGGGCAGCTAAGCTTGAAAGTGCTAGATTAATGATGATAATAGGTTTCTTTGTTGCAAGAGTTCTCAGTCTTTAATATGCTAACACATATTCACAAGGGAGGATATATAGCCAAAATTCAGTTAACTAAAGACAGTACTTTGGGAAACTGAAGTCCAAGTGGGTCATTGAAATTATTAGGATTTTCCCCATCTCTGCTTTTTATAAACTAGAAAATAATATTCTGTCCAGTGATTCTGATGAAGTAACAGTTTTATGGAATGATTCTCCCTTGAAAGTGTCCATTGAGTTGGTGTCCTATAATGGATGAATTAATATCTTACATTTTTTACATTTCTTCTGTCTACTTTTAATTTCTAGTATAAACATACATTTACAAGTAAAAATATTGAACATAAATGAAAGTTGTACCAAAGCATAATGGTGTACTTCCCTCTTATAGATAAGGAATTAATATTGTTGATGTGGATTTTTGCAGAAATACTTCTCATTTAGAAGGTGGGAGGTATTCAGGCTGGTAGGAGTTTCCATTAAAAGCAAACTGTTCAATAAAAAGAAATGTTACCTTTTTTTTTTTTTTTGGTGTGGAGTTAGTGCAGATTAAACATTATTATAATACATTAGAGTTTCTTGACACTGGTCCATATAGTTCAGAAACAGTGTTAGGCGTACTTGATATCTACCAAGGACAGTTGAGATACTAATCTCTTATTTATTCAATAAATGCTTTTTGATTTTTGGATGAAACTTTCTTAAATCTCAATAGAACCATTTCAATATGAATTTTAACCAGTGCAGAGTATACTTTACTCAATATTTATACACCATCATAATGAAGATTTCTGTCTACCAGAGAATTTGATCTCATTTAAAGTGTTAGCGAAAAATATATGAATAGTAAGTTGAAACTTATATGTAATGAGATTTATGCTATTATTGTGAACTGCCTTTGAAGAATCACTTCAATATCAGATTGAGCTTTTTGTGGCTAAAAAAGTCATAACATCTGAAATACTTATTTGCAGTAGGAATTGTCAAAGCTTCTCATGTTTTCAAAATGTAAACTCTGGCCAAGTGTGGTAGTACACTCCTATAATCCCAGTACACTCCTCTGAAGCCAATGCAGGAATTTTCTGAGTTTAACAGTCTGGAAAATTTAGCAATTCATTGAGACTCTATCTCAAACAAAAGAGCTGGGGATGTAGCTCAGTGCAACAGCCTTGGATTCAGTTCCTAGTACTGCATGTGCACACACACAAATAAAATCTACATCTAAATGCATTTGTTTCTTATGACTTTTAATATTCTTGCATGCTCTTCTTGAATTTAAAAGATAGTTTTAAAGGGCCTTTGTTAAAACTTTCTCAGTATAGGAAAGAAATTTGAATAAATTACATCATGACAAAAATTAGAAAATAATTCTTTATTATTCCATAGCTTCAATTTTAGTAATATTTAGAGATCCAGTTGAAACAAACAAGTTGCCTCTCAGAGTAGTGTTGATGTGTTGTGTAGTACGCAGTACACAGTTGTACTCAATTAAATGAGAATGTCTGCATTTTTTGTTATTTTGCTTCTGTTTTGATATCTTCCACATTGCTTTTGCCTTAAGTTTTAATCAGAATTTTAAAATAATAAAGATTCCTGAATGTAAGTAAAAATGTCCTTCTAGTCATTATATTTATGCAGACAGCAAAAAGTTACTCAAACTAATTTCATGATCCTTGATGCTTATGTCTAATTAGATTCAGACATCAATTTTTGCCTGATTTCATCCACAATATTTGTGATAGTTCTTTTAGATGTGCAGCTGCCCAACTGTGGTAAATACAGCATTTTCCTGTTACATGTATAGTGGGGTCAGCAAATCTTTACAAAGGGCCGCTTCCATGTTGTAAATATCTTAGAATTTCTAGGCATGTAGTCTCTGTTACAAGTGTTCCACTATCTTTTGTAGCAAGAAAGGAATCCTAGGCAGTATGTAAATGAATGAGCATAATTATGTCTCAACAAAATTTTATTTACAAAAATAAGCATGTGACTATAAACTGCTCTACTAACCCTTGGTCCAGAGTTTAAAATATATTAATTTTTATGTTGTTCCTGGTGAGAGGAAAGGAGAAAGCAAAAACAAACTCATATAATTTTTAGTTAATGCCAAGATAATGAAGAGTATAGAACCAGTTATTTAAAGTGTTGGTGTCTAAATAAAATGGAATCAATCAGTAAATTTGGGCTGATTTTCAGAAACTCAGCAATTACCTGTTAGAAGATTTAATCGTGAAAAATTTGCAAATAGGTCTAAAATGGACCTTTAGTTTCTGAGGTAGTGACATTATCCTCTCCTTAATATGCTTTTCTGTATAATAGAAGTTAATGAAATGCCTTAATTTATGATATAAATATATATAAATTTTTACTAGTCTAGAAGTTTTGTAACTTTCATCCTTGTAGTTTTCTCTGACTTCATGAGAAAACTGTGTTTTATTTAATGAATGTTAAATAATTCAGAAGGTAATACAGTATTTTATAATAGCCACTTTGTGAATCCTACTGCAGTTTTAATTTCTCCTTTCATTAGGCGGGTAAACACCAAGAATACGAACAGAAACTACTTCAGGAATTGTATAAATTAAATCCCAATTTTCTTCAGTTGTCTACGGGTTCGGTTGATAAGAATAAAAATAAAGTGACACCACTGCAGAGGTATGATACGTAAGTACTGCTGCTAATATAGTCAGACATTTTTGCCCTCTTGCCTGTCAGTCTTCTCTTTTCATTCTGCCTCTTTTTTTTTTTTTTTTAACATAAAATCCTTCTTGACAAGGTCCATCACTTAGGCACAATTGTTTGGCTATGGGGTAGTGCAGGCTCACAGTTTTAGGTTTGAGTATCTGCTGTTTATTCTTCCCTCGTTTACACTTTGGGCAAGCCTCTTTATGCCTTTACCTTTGCAGTGGTTTGCAGACCACCCTGGGCCCAGGAAAGATGCTCCCTGTTAAAAAAAAGTTAAGGAATGTCGAGTATAAAAAGGTCTTGTCACTTAATTGACATTGTGTTACTTTTCTCACATAGCTGGGACAAAATATGCAAAACCCAAAATTAGGGGAGGAAAGGTTTATTTAGCTTATAGTTTTTTGGAGGTTTCAGTCTGCACTCAGCTGGCTCTAACACAGGGTGACTTGGCTGAGGGGCAACCATTCATGGTGGCTGCAAACAACAAGAGGGAAAGGGCAAAAGAGAGAAAGCACACCTCTTGCCTGCCCTTACATTGTATACCGGCTCCCCACCCTTGGGCAGGTACAGCACTCACACCACCAATCCTAGTGCTAGACAACAAGCCAATCACCAATGCTAGATTCAGTCACCTCCATGATTGCATGAGGCTTTGGGGGCAGGAGGCATCCAAACCATAACAGCCATCTCCCTGATACAATGAGGGAAGACCTGTGACACAGATATTCAAGGATAGTTAGTTCCAGAAATAACTAAAGTCTTATATCCTGTGAGTGAAAACCCATACTCATTTTATCACCCATATTGATTTTATGAGAGAAGTTTTCTCCTGACCTCTACCCTAGCATGATTTTGGGATGATGATACTGTGTCTGTGTAAACAGATTTGTAATCTTTAGTACTGAATCCCATTCCATTCGATTTTCACTTCTTGGATCTTGCAATCTTGGATTGCATTATACTTGATTATGACCTGTGAGAAAATCATAAAGTTAGTTTTATAATTTTACTTTCCTGAATGTTCCGTAAGCTTAATATATTAAGATCTTTGTTCTTTTCTTTTAATCCAAAGTTAAATTTAAGTGATATTTTAATGCCTCTGTGTTAAATATTATACCCAGTGTCTTAGTTAGTAGTAAAATACTGTAAAAGACATTTTTCACACTGAGCCAATAATAATTGCATAAGTTATTGTCAGAGCCCATTTCTTTAGTGCCATGTTCTTTGGTTTAAATTTTTCAAATCGTTGATTTTACTCTTTTTGACAGTGGAAATTATTTAAATGTTAATGACTAAATACTTATTTATATAAACATATGTAGTGATTAAGAAACATGGTGAATGTTTAAATTTTTAAACCAGTAACATAATAAAAAAACACATTAATCCTCCTTAAGATTCTCCCCCTCACTTCAGACACACTTAACCATTGTCTTATCACTTTTTGAAATGGTTCTCCAGGTCCTCTGTCATGAGTGTCTTTAGATACATTGCCGCAGCAACCTGAGTCTCCTGAGTGGATTCCAGATGGTTACCTTTCATGGTTGTTTTGACTTTGGGGATAAGCCAGAAATTACACGGTACCAGAGTCCTTGAATAAATGGATGAGCCTAGACTGTAGTATTTTTACAAACCTACTTGTCTATTAGATGGCACTGGGCTGCAGATTCACCATAATGTTTGATCACATTTTGTAAAGACACAAAAGAGAGTTTCTAGAAATGCTTCAGAAAGTGCCTAAAATCATGAGATAAGTGTGTTGGAAGTGAGAGGGAGTAGTTTAAGGGAGTTAATGTCTTATTGTATTAATATTCATGTTTAAATATTCATTGTGTATTTGACCATATTTCATAAATTTGTGACTAGGCAACAAAACGTAAAATTACTGTAAACTCTGTGAGATTTGTTTATATCAAGGTTAATAATAAAGGCTAAAGCCAAATAAATCTTTCTGAGTTATAAACTTTGACCTTTTCGAGTTGCCGTTTATATCTATACTTTTGTATCCCTACATCTTCATGATGAACCAAATGCAATTACTTATCTTACTGGTTTCTACTTCTATAGTGCTTGCTATAAGAATGAATTTATTGGGGTTGGGGATTTAGCTCAGCAGCATGAGCACCTGCCTTGCAAGCAGGCAGTGGCGAGTTCGATCCCTGGTACCGATAAAAAGGAAAAAGACAAAAAAAAAAGAATGAAGTTATTGAAATATACACGAGATGCATTCATTATTCATTCTTTAATATACATTGTCATTCTCATTAAAAATGTCAGTCTAGTTAAAGTCACACTCTGTGTTATAACCCCTAGAGTTTGCAGAGCAGAACTTTAAAATTTAGATGTTTCTTTGAGATAATATTCATTGCTTTCTGAATATAAAATAATATGTTTGTGTTGATGGAAATGTGAAAAAATTATGAAAGCATACAGAAGAAAATTAATATTTTATGTGATCTTACTACCCAGAAATTTTCACTGAATGTATTTCCAATCTGTTAAGCCAGTCAGTGTTTCTTATTCCTGTGTTATTTTCATTTTAATGGTACTATGTAAAACACTGTACTGAATGTCTTTTCACATAAATGTTAAACATTGATTGTTCCTGAAAATAGAACTGCTTGGTCTAGAGTTTGTGAGTACCAGTTTCCTGAATTTTTCCTCCTAGTGTTGATAAACAGAAAAACTAGTGTCTCATTTTAATTTATACATGAATATTGAGTGAACTTTTTATACACTGTAAATTCCTAAGTCTCCCATGTTTTGTTTCTTTGTAAATTACAGAGATCCAATTTTTCCCAGTTAGATGATCAGTTATTTGTGTTTGAAAATGCATCGATTTATAAGTCCGTTTTGGAAGAGTTTATATTCTACAATGTGGACTCCTTCTAACTACTAGCATGGCATATCTAAGTATTTTGCTCCTCTTGGGAGATTTTATCTGTTTGGTTGTTTTGGTATCTTCCAACACTGCTTGTGTTGAGAATTCCAGTGCTAAAAGTTAAAGAGCAGTGTTAGACTAGCAGTGCTAACAAGCATTTTTGCTGTATATCTTTCCTTTGAGCGGATAGCTCTGATATTTTAGTCGCTTAAGTATGATTTTGTTCATTTATTTGAAATAACTTTTAAATCACAATATGAAAATACCTTGATATTTCTTAATTTGTTGAGTTTTCCCCCTTTACATTGTAAATGAATATTGGAATTTACATTTGTTACAAGTATTCAGCTTTTACATAATTTGTAATCAATTATTAATGGATTGCCTGTTATTTTATTGACTTTGTCTTTATTACGAGCAGGTAGTAGGATTGGATTTTAGGCAAGCCTTCTTCCTACAGGAAGTTGCCAAGTTAGTGATGGTCAAGCAACTAACTTTTTGTTCTTTCTATGGCCTTACCTAAAAGAATTTTGTTTTTCTTTTTTGAGACAAGAACTTGTTTTGTAGTTCAGGCTGGCCTGAGTTCACTGTGTAGCCCACACTAGCCTTGAACTGTATGCCAATTCTCCTTCCTCACCTTCCTGAGTGCTGGGATTATGGGCATGCACCACTTTGCCTGGCTTATCTTTTATTTTGTAAGAATATTTATTTGCTCCCTGATTCTCATCTGTCTCTATCTGTTTGGATCTGTTTCTCTTCCTCTTTTCGCTTTCCTTTGCCTTTTCTTTTTCCTTGCACTTCTCTTTTTCATTTTTTTTCTTGTAATTCTACCTATACACCTGCCTCTCTCCCTCTTTGCCTCTCTTTCTCCCTCCTCTCTTCCTTCCTTCCTCAAGATAAATGGAAAACTAGGTTACACTTGCCTATTTCTTTCTTGGCAAATAGCAGAATTTTACAAAAATTTTAATATTAATTTAGTACATGTTTGTAGTTTTTATCATGGGAAGTTGGTGTGTGTATATGACACATCTTGGTTCTTTTACTTCCCCTTCTCTCCACCTCTCCTCCCTCCATCTCTTGGTCCCCTTCCTGTGGAAATAGCAGTTTACAAGAAAAGTTGCAAGAATAGAAGCCTAGAATCTCATAGACTAAGGTACTGTAAAGTATTTACTCCTCTAAGAAGTCTGTAAATTCATCATAGGTTTCAGAACTATTTAGGACTAAAACTTTAAAAAAAAAATCAGTCATATAGTATATGAAACTGCTTATGAATTCTTATCTGCAGAGATTTATGCACACATCCTCTTGAAATAGTATCTTGGTGGTGTTATGAAATCTAAGTCCCAGTTGGTACATCTTAGTTCCACTTGAATCCAGTGCTTCTTAATCAGCCGTGTAGTGTCCATGGCTTTGAGTGTCTCAATTCCTCTTTCTTTGTTGGTTAGGAGTACTAACAGTACTTGAGTGACCTGTAGGAGAGTTGGTCTTTCAACTCAGCTTTTTCAGAAATTGTCAACCTCTAATGCTGCCCCTCTCATTTTATGGCTTAGTTTAGTTTATATTATCTGCTTCCCGATTCTATCCTTGACAAGCCAAATTGGTGTTACTTTTTAGACAGCTTTCTAGTCTTTGCCCTTGCTAGTCATCTTCTGCCCCATTGCTTTGTGTGTGCTGCGCAGATAGTAAACAAAAATGTTACCCATTAAAAGTGAAATGAATAGGGCTGGGGATTTAGCTCAGCGGCATAAGCGCCTGCCTTGCAAGTATGTGGTCGTGAGTTTGATCCCCGATACCAATAAAAAGAAAAAAAGACCAAAAAAAAAAAAAAAAAAAAAGTGGAATGAATAGCTAGACCGTAGCTTTTGTCACAGTGACAGTTTTTTTAGTGTGGCAAAGCCTTCAGAAAGCTTGTAGGATTTTTTTGCATACTTGTTTTTAAACTTTAAAAGCCAGTGCAATTTATCTTAGTATAACTGAACTTCTTACATCTGGTATCCTTGGTACCTGGCAGGTAGGTCATGGCTAGGGAGCTGTCCATAGAATAGGTCTCTGTCCTCACAAGTAAGATTTTTTTGTTCTGGTTTGTTTGTTTGTTTGTTTGTTTTGTTTTTTTCTTTCTAAGGGTTAACAACTTGGTATGATAATGGTGGGTGAATGTTGAACGTTAAACAGATTTGTCAGGTCAAACAGGCATAGTTTGGTGAAAAGGGAATTTGTACATCTAATGCCAGCAGAGTCATGAAAAACTGACCTGTTAACAACTCCCCTGAGATACCCCTTTTTTTGTGTAATCATTAAAGATTTAATTCACATTCATGGGAATTTGTAAATATACTTTCTTTCTATGGAATTATACGTATATCTTTGTTCTCTTTTGATAGTTCTTTTGTGTTGATAGTTGTATTTATTCAAGTTTAATATTCACTGACTTGTTATAGTCTATACAGAAAATAAAGTGATTTCTAATCATATCTTCAGACATTTTATTTCTCCCATTTGCTAGTTATTTAAAAAACTGAGACGACTACAGTTAGACTTGAGTGAAACATAAGCTTACTAGTATCTTGCCATAGTCCTGATTGTTTAGCAGGTATTTTTGAATTGGTATTGATCCAGAAATTTTTAAACATATCTGATAAAACTTTCCTAGGCAGAGCTTAAAATGTTATGAATCATTGCTTATAAAAATGCAGTTGAGATCCTGGACAGAATGATACAAATTATTCTAATTAGTTATCATCCAGAAACATTCTTAAGACTTACTCTTTATGCAACCTTATTTTCTTGTAGTGCCCTGGATATCAGCAAGACTGACCTAATTACTATTCAATATTCTTTAATGGTGGTAGCTGGAAAGATGAGCCAAGATCCAGACACTGAAATTGTTCAATTGTCATAGTACCTTTTTTTAAAGCTTCTATTAATCCTTCTTCCTCTCAACTTGAAGCCATGATTCCCTAAGAGTAGTGCAAGTTTATGTTATTTCTGATTATGCCCTGGTCTGTTTTTGCTACCATCAAATTAATCTTTCTAAAATACTTTTGTTTAGAGTATTTCTGTTCTTAGATCTTTCCATTGGCCTTTGGAGTCTGGCCTCAACTTTTCCCTCCTTATTTCCCGTTGTCATTCAACTGCCTGTTTATTAGCTAAGTTAATCATCACGAAACCAACAATTTTTTTGCTATCCTTTTGACTCTTGACACTTGTTTTTCTCCTTTTCTTCTTTCTTTCTTTTTTTTTTTTTAATCGGTAACTGGGTATTGAACTCATGACCACGCGCTTCCAAGGCAGGTGCTTATGCTGCTGAACTAAATCCTCAGCCCCTCTTTTCCTTCTTTCTAATATGTACATCTTTTTAAGACCTACTTAAATTTGAACTCCTCTGTGAAACTTTACCCAGTTCCCACATTGATGGTAGCTTTGCTTTTTTCTGAAAACTTGAAGCATTTTTTTAAGCAGTTAATTTTGATAACTGGCTTTGGCACATAATATCTGTTGGAAACAAGAGCATCTTAGCAGTGTCTTAGCAGGTCATATACCTCAGATTCAGATCAGGTTCTAGTTCTTGCTTACTTAGTAGGTTACCTCTCTGTAAGATGATTTTCTATTTCCAGTGAATAATTTTGAGAAATGTGAACCCTTATTTTGCTATAAATCTGTTTGAGTGATGATACTTACCCTTTGTTCATGTGGTGAATTAATTGTGGAAATTATGTCACTGAATCAGTGCTGTAATACTTACAGAGATTGTTCTTTTGTCTTTAACTCAGATGAGTTAAAATGGACTTGAAGTTAGCATTTTCTGCCTTTACCATAATACTACATTTTCTCGGAATAAAATGTTAATGTTTTGTTTTTGCAGTAAATGTAATGTTTTTGCAGTTTGTATAAAAATGTGTTTTATGTATGTGTGTATAAATACGTGAAGTATGATCAAATATGTGCCAAATGTTTATAAATTTTTAAAATTTATTATAGTAGAAGACACATTGCCTTGAATCCCCTCAGGTTACTCCTCCTTGTTTCAAAAACATTTGCCCATTCTGCTTGGCTGGCTGCTTGCTTGCTCTTTCTTTCTCTTCCTCCCCCTGCAACATGTTCACCACCAGTGCTATAGAATTTGGGTGGTACACAGCTGTAATCCCTGTTACCCAGGAAGCTGAGACAAGAGAATCTCAAGTCTGAGTCCTGTCTGGGTAAACTAATGAGACCCTGTTTCAAAATAAAACAAGCTTGGGAGGATGTAACTCAGTGGTAGTGTGCTTGCTTAGCATGTAGGCAGCCCAGAGTTCAATCCCCAGTGCCACAAAAAATAAAAAGAACTTATAGGGAATATTTTAATAATTTCTATACCCTTCTGTCAAACATCTAGGAAAAAAGCTTTAATGAAACATATGTTTATCACATGCACAAAAGTAAATGATAGATTATATTTTTGACCGATGGGAGTATTGTGTGTTTTAAGCAGTAATTTTTTCCATAAACTACCACTCCAGCCAGTGTTTCAGACAATTTAGTTAGAATGTAAGTTCCTTAAAAGGCAGTGATCAAGGGTAGGGATCTTGCACTTTTTGTATCTCAAACATCTAGCCTAATATTTTATGTCATAGTGGCTCAATAGTAAACATATCTAAGATAATAAAAATGCCTGTTTCTCTGACTTTGGGGGAGTTTTGTTTGTTTTGTGGTAGAGTGGCTTTTAAAATTTAATTTGTTTTCTCTTTACAGCCCCATTGACAAACCTTCAGATCCTCTCAGTATAGGGAATGGTGATAATTCCCAACAGGTAAGATTAGAATAAAATATCAGTTTATTGGCGGTATCCTGAAAACAAGGTATTTTATGCAAGTGAACTTTCTAAATAGTGAGGAGTACTTTAAATACTGACACAATTTAAAACACCTCTGACTGAAAGGTTTGTTAAGTTATTGTTAGGGTTTTTTCCCTGTACATATACATAGACTATAGTTTAACCTTTTCTTGATTACCTAAAATTATCATCAGGTCCATGTATTATCATACTGTGTGGAAGCACATCAGTATCTTACAGTTTGCTACAGTTACTGTGACTGTACCTAAATGGTCCCAAGCCTGTGGGCCTTACGTGTTCTTGTTTTTCAGAGTTATTTTCCCTCAATGCATTCTCTCTGTCTTTTACTGTCAGCTGCAGTTTTCACACAGTGTGCTCATTCCTAATAGTGCTTCATCGTTCTTCCTTGCAATGAACTATTTGAACTTGCATCTCCTGTGAAAATGAGTGAGGAAAGGATTGGCAGGCATGCATTGTGTCACTTAATGCTTAGGCAATCTTTTTCTGCCAGTTTTCTGCTAGTTGAGTTTCCAACATCATCTTATATTGGTAAAATAAAGTAATTTTAGTCTTCCATAAAGAATAGCCGGTTTCCATAAAGAAATTCCATAAAGAATTCTTTCTTCCATAAAGAATAGCTAGGATAGGTAAAAAGAAATCTAAAATTTATTTTTCTTTTAGTTTTTAGGTGAAAGTGTATATTGCTTCTTAAATCAGTATAATGAATTCAATGTCCTGATACTTGTCATAATGTTTTGCTTGTACCACATTTTGATGCCCATCATCCATTTAGAAAAAATACACAAACTCTTCTTTAACAGCAATTTTGCATCATTCTTTATTCTTCTTAAACTCATTTTTCTGTTGCCAGTACAGAGTTTTATTTTGATGTGAGATAGTTTTTGTTGGAAAAGCATACTCTCAAGTAAGAATAGGTATTTATGTAAGAACGTTCTTGATTTAAATGCCAGTTTTTCTTTTGAGTTTTTATTAAGTTGATCAAAGCAATATGTAAGTGAGCTTTGATAAAAAGTAATCATTAAACATAAATACCATAGCTATGAGATGAATTAAGCCACTTGAAAACTAGTTTTCACATGTCCTTAGATGAATATCACTTATTGGTAAAATGAGGCAAGTTTTAGTAACAGTCCTCATGTTTTTCATTTTTCTAAGAAGAGAGTGACAAGAAATTTGTTTCTGTAAATAAATAGATGGAAAGAGGAAAACTATTCTGTCACTATCCCTCAAATCTTTGAATTCCTTCTGAATTAGATACCTAAGAATTAGGTAAAGATTTATCATGATGATGATTTTTGATCATCTGTCTTGGGGAGAGCGTCTGTCAGTTTTGTTAACTAAAATATTGGGAATCATCTAGTTTGTAGAAAGATCTAGTCATTAGAGTTTGTCATTCTGTTCTTACCAGTTGAAATATTTCTAATAATTTGTCTTTGGTCTCTGGAAAGTTTGTGCTCAAGCAAAGATACTATAGTGAAATCCCAGAGAGTAAAACATATTATTACATTCATAAAGTAAGAGGAGTAAGATTACTAAAAGAGAGGAAATTCATTTTGTCTTCTCAGACAGATTAGTTTTTTTTTTTAAAAGAGTACCCATATAAATTAACAGTTTAATTGTTTTTCTGAAACTACTGCTTTTGTTGAAAAGTTTCTAAGTTCCCTGGTTTGAAGGCTTCTTTCCTAATATATTTAGTTGCAGATCTTTTTTATTATTGCTTATTAAAATGTGTTGGTTATTTTCTTGTGTATTGATCATTTTCTTTCTCTTTTTTTATTTAGATGCCTAACAGTGATACACCTTCTCCACCACCTGGTTTGTCAAAATCCAATCCAGGCATCCCTATCAGTTCATCCAATCACAGTGCACGGTCCCCTTTTGAAGGGGCAGTAACAGAGTCACAGTCATTATTCTCAGACAATTTTCGCCATCCCAACCCTATCCCAAGTGGGCTTCCTCCTTTTCCCAGCTCCCCACAGACATCCAGTGACTGGCCAACAGCACCAGAACCACAGAGCCTCTTCACATCAGGTATGTGACATTCTCTCGTTAGTAATTACACTGTTGGCATACTGTTGCTAGACCAATGTCATACCCATTGGTAGGTACATGCTTATCCTTTTCCTCTTGTATTCTCTTTTTATAAAAATGTAAATATTTATACCACATGAAATTAAATGGTAAATTGTTGAAAGACCTAAAATTTATCGTGTTAAAACACAGATTGCTCCAGAAATTAAGGATTATGTTATTTTCCCATTATTGAAAAGCTTATTTCTCTGGGAATTATTGAGGATTTAGCTTTTTAGTCTGATTTGTGTTTGTGTAAATAAAATTTTTCTCCACAACTGATAAAGGGTTAAGAAGTTATTTGGTATTAAAAGTTTTTAGTTTTGCATTTTTTTTTTTTTTTTTTTTTTTTGGTCTTTTTCCTTTTTATCGGTACTGGGGATCAAACTCACGACTGCCTGCTTATAAGGCAGGCGCTTATGCTGCTGAGCTAAATCCCTAGCCCAGTTTTGCATTTTTAAAAGCTATTTCTATTTTTACTCATTTTAAATTCTCTTTTTGATGTGAAAGGTTTAAATTAATATGCACTGCAGCATTCTGAAGCAGATAATTAAAAAGACTACCAAATTTTTTTATTAAATTATTTTTTCTTCGTATATAAGGCATTGTCAAATTTATTTGTACTTTGTCTTTAATAAATATATTTAAAAATAAGCTTCATTAATTTAAATTTGTTAGATTTTATTTATTTCATTTAAATGTGTTAGATTTTAATTGTGAGTAGCTAAGTATAATTTGGGTCAGGAATTTTTTTCTTTTGATTAGCAAAACCATCTATGTGGATCAGTTTTTGAAGTTAGGAATTTTAGAGTGAAATTGATACTAGTACGTATGGTGTCTTTTGTAATTAGTGAACTTTCTGTGCTAATAAGCCATAAAGATTTTGTGTATATTTGCTGTTTTAGTTTCTTTTCTCTTGTTGCTGAGACAAAATACCTGAAACCCAGAGTTAAAGCGGGAAGGACTTATTTAGCTCACAGTTTATAGAGGTTTCAGCCCATAATTAGCTGTTTTAAAGGCAGGCTGGCATAACAGATAGGCATTATAAAGGAAAAATAGTTCATGTAAGCAGAAAGTAATAAAGCATCAACAGAGCAAACACAGCTCTTTCTGTCCATTCTATCTTATCCAGGCTACTTAGCGCAGGTAACACTTATACCCTTAATTCCTAGTGCTCTTGATCCTAGAATTATACTATGAATCCAAGCGTTACACACTTTAGCTCTAGCCACCTCTGAAAAAGTTCCACCTATGACCACATAAGACTTTAGGGGAACATCTAGACACAAAGCATAACATTCCGTTCTGTAGACTTCCACACACATGCACATCTATCTATGCAAAAAGCATTTAGTCCATCTTCAAGAGTTGCCAATGTCCTGACAGTTTCAGCATTGCTAAAAAGTCCCAAGTCAAAAGCCTCCTGAGATTTAAGGCAAGTCTCTGTACAAATGCAAAGAAAGTTAAAACTTTTGCAACATTCAGTGTACAAGGTGAACATTTCCATGCCAAAAATTACAAATGGATTGGAATAAGGAATGGGAGCAAAGCAAGACCAGAATCCAGCAAGGCAAACATTAAGTCATGTAGTTCTTGTGTGGCATCCGAGGCAATCTGTGGCAAGACATGAATGAACTCCAAAGGGATTGGGGTGGCTCCATTACTATAGCACTTCTGATGCTTGTAGCTCTCATGGGTTCTTTCTTTGGCTGACTTTGCTCACTCCTTGAAGCTTTCCTTGAATGATCCATGTTCTGGTTTTTCCAAACTTTTTGGGTCTCCGCTGCACCTTTGGCTTCACACTCACAATTTCATACACTATCCTCTCAGAGGCACACTGCCTGACCTCCCAGACCTTCTTATGAAATCTGGGTGGAAGCTTTTGTGCACCCACAACTCTTGCAATCTGCATATGCCTAAAGTCCACACCATATGAATAACATCATGGTCTGCTGCCAGCTAGAACAATAGGCAGACTTCTTCCTCTCTGTAGGGATCTGGCACCTATGAACCAAATCCTGAAGAACAGTTTCCCTGGCTCACAGTCATTCTGGAATATGGTACCCTGGGGCTCTCTACTCAAAGCAAAGTAGTTCAGTTTTGCAGTTTTGAGGCTGCAAAGGATGGGACCCTGCTGCTTCTTGCAATGTCCTCAGGCTATCTTTTCTGTTCTCCTGTTCCTTCTCAGCAATCAAGATATCTGCTCTATCTTTGCAGTTGACAGTTTTACTGGATCCTCCTTTCTGGCCAAACTCAAAATGTTCTAAATCGTGCTGCTGAGCTGTTTCTTTCTTTTTGACTCTGAACATAAATTTACCCAAAAGTCTCCAATAGTGGCCATGCCAGTGCCTCAACATTAGATTGCTTGGAAACTTATTCTGTCAGTCTCAGGCAAAGTCTCCCAACATAAGCAAAATGCATACAGACTTTTTGCCAGTGCATTGCACAATTCATCTGGAGTCTTAACAGCCAAAGTAGTCCTTCCCAGCACAAACCTCCTGTGCCTGTTCTTTACTGGCTTTTTGATCTTGTGAGTTCTAACCAGAATCTCCCATATAGTACAACCTAAGGTGTTCCAGCTCTGCTTTTTCAGTCAGCATCTCTGGACCTTTCCTAACTCTTGCCATTCCCACAAGCCACTTCCAAAGGCTCTTTAAGTACATGGCCAGGTGTAGCCACAGCAATGACCCCACTTCTCTGGTACAAATTTTATTTTCTTGTTGGTGAGAGAAAATACCCAACACCCAAAGTTAAAGAAGGAAAGTTTATGTATTTCACAGTTTATAGAGGTTTCAGTCCAGAGGTAGCTGGCTGGCTTCAAGACAGGGTGGCACAGTAGACGGACCTTGCAGGAAAGAAACAGTTCATAGCAGGCAGAAGGTAACAAAGATACAAGGAATAACTGCAGCTCTTTCTGTCCCTTATTATCTCATCTAGGCCACTTATGGTAGATAGCATTCACATCCTTAATCTTAGTGCCCTTGATCCTAGCATCACACACACTAGATCCAGCCACCTCTGAAAAAGTCCCACCTATGACTGTGAGGCTTTGGGGAGGACATCTAGACACAAGCCATAAGGCTTGTTTTTATCTTGTTATGTGACATGATTAGCTTGCATTAGTATGGATCTTAATTAAGTGTGAAAGTGAACTATATTTTATATTCATCGCTATTTCTCTTCCCAACAGAAACTATCCCAGTGTCATCCTCTACAGACTGGCAAGCAGCGTTTGGCTTTGGTTCTTCTAAACAACCAGAGGATGACTTGGGTTTTGATCCCTTTGATGTTACTAGAAAAGCCTTAGCAGACCTGATTGAGAAGGAACTGTCTGTCCAAGACCAACCTTCCCTTTCGCCCACATCTCTTCAGAACTCCTCTTCACACACTACAACCGCCAAAGGCCCAGGCTCTGGATTCCTGCATCCTGCTGCACCTGCAAATGCCAACTCTCTCAATAGTACCTTTTCAGTCTTGCCACAGAGGTTCCCTCAGTTTCAGCAGCACCGAGCAGTTTATAATTCGTTCAGTTTTCCAGGCCAGGCAGCCCGCTATCCTTGGATGGCCTTTCCACGCAATAGCGTCATGCACTTGAACCACACAGCAAACCCCACCTCAAATAGTCATTTCTTGGACTTGAATCTCCCGCCACAGCACAGCACAGGTCTGGGAGGGATCCCTATAGCAGGTAGGTTTGGTTAAAGCCTTTTGAGAATTCTTGAGTAACTTATGCCCTTCAGGGTATTGGGGGTGGGGTGTTGGGTAGCAGAGTTATTTATTAGGCTTGGAAATTTCTATGAGAAAATGTTAAAGTCTTTATCTTAATCTAAAAATTTTTTAATCAGATAGATGCCTTGTAATATTGAGCTTTATAAGGATGGTGGAGTATTATACCTAGTTATGGTTTGAAAGCGTTTTACTTAACAGGATAGTTAACCAGATTTTCATATGGTATATAAATAAAAGAAGAAAAAGAAGAAAATGACCTCTGAAATTGTGGTGCTATGAATTCCAACACCACAGTAAAAATTGTGATTTTACATTCTAAAAGAGGTTGAATTTTTTTTGAATGATAATGAGAGCATGAGGGATAAAGCCACTCTTAACTGCTTATGGAAATTATTTATTTTGACTGATAAACACATACACACATCAAAATTGTTCTATTAATAGTACTTAATATTTGAGAACTGATCATTAGTGTTGTGTAAGTGTATCCTATATCACAGACATACTTTCTGTAAACAAGAATTGTTCAAGGAAAGGTATTTACCCTCAATCTGTCACGTTTTTATTTCTGGGGGAAAATGTTTGGTATATGTAAGGTAATACAAACTTTACGCCAGAATACTTCTGGTTTTGTGCTGCCACCCTTGAAGGTTTCAGAACTTTTGGATTTTAAGATCCTGTGTAATATTTTTTAGATAAACTGTCTTCTAGGGAGTGTCTCTTGTCAATGTGTTGTAGTTTCAATTTGGGCTCTAGAGATGACGTAAAAAGACTTTGTTCCTCTCCTGATTCAAGTAGGATAGTCCCTTATTCTGTTACATAACTACATAACTTTTTTTTTTTTTTTTTTAATCTTTTGCCATAGTCTTTAAGGTATGACATGGCACAGTGGTGTTGTCATGTACTATTACCAGTAAGGTACTCATTCTCTAGTTTTTAGCAAGTTTGATAGATGAATTTATAGATATACATCAAGATTTTTTGGCTGTGTTCTTCTCTTGAAACCAAAAATGTTCAGTATTCTAGACAAGTGGCTAGGTCTTAGTTTGTGACTCTGGCTATAGTGAAGTTAACAGTTGACACCATGAGGTTAGTTCACGTAAGAGCACCTACTAGTGAGATTCATGATATTTGTTCATTTGATTATGGTACATAGTAGATAATCCAGAGCAGCAATTTTTATTTTTTTTCCTGATGAGATACCGGCTTGTGAAACACTTCAGTGTTTAATGTCTGTACACCTTTTCTTCCATTCAAGGTAGCATATTAGAATATCAATTTTGTTTTGCTTTGCTTTGTTCTTAATCATTTTTAAAAGTAGCATTTTAGGCCAGAGATTTAGCTCAGTGGCATAAGGGCCTGTCAAGTGTGAGGTTGTGAATTTGATTGCCGGTACCAAAAACAAAGAAAGTTTTAATTACTAGTGAATCTCTTACCCAGTTACAAAAATAAAAAATTTAAATTCTCCTAAATATTCTAAACATTAAAGATAAAACATAAAACCCAAGTATAGTGTTACATCAGCTCCTGTGTGTCCAACAATGAACTAGCCCGTTTAGAAATACTAAAGAAGTATAAAACTTGGCTACTGTTTCCAGGTAAAGGACACTTAAAGAGATAAGATTCAAATCATGTGTGAAGGTGATAACTGTGTGGTAGTGGAATCTGAGACATCGGGGTAGCCTGTAATTGTTGGGGAAGCTGGAAAAAGGAGGAATTGATCTCTAAGATGGTGGTCTAAGGTTTGTGTCAGTAGCAGGGGAAAAACCAGGTCTTTTATGTTGATGAAAGCGTACAGCAGCAGAGTGAGGCAGGCATTAGTGTCATTATCTTAAGAATCAGTCAGAATGCCTTCTGCAAAAAGATTCTATTTAAATTGTAGAGAGCTGTTGGGTAAGAGGTGAGGCACAACCGCAGGGGTTGATACGGGACTCTGGTCTAAGCTGTCTTCACTTTATTTTTTTATTTTACTTGTTTCGTGACCATCTTTGATTAAATTATGCGTTCTTCCAGATTCTTAGTCATAATTAGCACTGAAGAGCAGTTTTAACCCAAAAGTTGCAAGTAAGTAGGTATTTTGAAAATGCCACATTGGTAATGAGAATCACTGATTAGTGAGTGTAGTTGTTCTGTTTAGTTATTTAAAATATTCATCTAAAATGCCACTAGAAATTTTTAAATGTGGCATTATAGTTCTGTCCTTGTAAGGTTTTTGTTTTTAACTTTTACCATATACCCAATCATAGAGCATTAAAAACTTTTTTTCCAGATGTGTTAAAAATTAAGTCACCAACGTTAGATTCTGAATCAGTGTCCTTTTTGGTGGTGGGGTGGGGGAGTTTGTTATTTCAGACTTTCAGTTTTGGGCTATGCATATTTGTTTGGTACTTAAAGGTGACTTTTGGTTAAGCTTACTATTATTTTTGAGGCTCTGATAACTAGAGAAATTTCAGTTTTAATATACCAGAATATTTAAAATCACCAGAATTCTATCATGACTTATGATTATTTGACAGGTATCTCAGGAAACTGGGTCAGTGATCCTCAGAATAGTAGTTTTATAATTGTAACCAGATGATTTAGAATTTTCAGTAACTATTAGAAATGACAGAGTGAAAAATCTACAAAGCTATATACAACTTAACTGTTCAATTAATAACTGGGGAATATCTACCTTTTTTATCTCTGTAACTCAGTAGTACTTGAGCTGAACTATTGAAAGGGAGTCAACTTTGTATTCTCTACTGATTATCATAATACCTTAAAGAGGACAGCTATTGATTAGACACTTTAGTAATGGAAAGATGTTTCAATGGGACCTGCTACTTTTAACATTTACCTAACTATTGTAAACTAATTCTTTACTGGGAATAGCATGTGTATTTATTCTATACAAATGCAGAGAAAAATAGAGTTCCTGAACTGTAGGAATAAATCAGAGGTGGCAGCCACCTATATATCACACAGATGTTGTGTCTTATTATTATCTATTTGTATTTACAGTTTTAGTTTTGATTTAATTATTAAAAGCAGATATCTGAAACCTATCATGGGAAGAACAGTTGCCAGAGGTTTGACAGAAATTGGGCTTCTGTTTCCTTTGTGTAATTGAAAATATGTGCTTAAAAGTAATTATTTTCTTAGGTGAAATCTTTTTAGCAGCTTTTTCTGGGCTGCACATCTGGTTTGCTGTTAGAAAGATTTTTAAAATAAATAATCTTGGAACAAAACTTTGATTAGTGGCCAGTTGTAAGTCCATTGAAATATTTGTTTTTCTTTTAAAAAGGGACTTGTCCGGTTTCTTCATTTTTAAAACGGCACAGGTGCATTACAGAAAATTTAAATAATTTGGTAAGGGCTACACATTCAATTAGCATAAGAACTTAGACTTCAAAATCAGCAATAAAAATGTTTTTGCACTACAACACTGATATTCTCCTTCACAACTGAAGATCACTGGCATGTGCTTTAACTTGGCTTTCCTCCCATAAGTAATTGATTTCTGCTCTCACATACTTGCAAGTCACTTTTTCTCAGTAGAGTTTATTCATAAGACATATTGGCCAAGTTCAGGGATATGGCCTTTAGTACATACATAGAAACGAAGTAGAATGTTTATTAGATGGATGAAAATCAATCTTTGCTTATTCCTTATTAGTACATGGTATCACAAAGAACTGTAGTCTAAAATTGCTTTACGCAGCCTCATTGCTGTGTACTTAAAAGTTTATGGATACTTTGCTGGTTTTCTGAAAACTATAAAATAATGTGTTTGTTGCTTAGAAGACTCCTTTTCTGCATTGTCAGTTAAGCTATCTTTCCAAATGTAATTTTGTAGATTTATTTTTTAAAGAGCTCTCTGCCAAAATGTTTTTATTCCATGATGCTAAAAATTGTAAAACGAACAATAGTCTAAATCTGTAAGCATTGTTTCAGCATATACTTCAAAAATATTTGAAATTGTTCAGGCTCAGGATTTTTTCATGTTTTTGTTAATTCACATTACTTATGAAAAAGCATTTTTCTTAAAATTTCTTTGTTTCTTTATTACTTTCCAAGTGACTTAATTGAATTTTGAGTCACATGTAAAACAATTCACTTGTGGTAAAATAATACTCAATTATATTTGGAGAACTGAGTTCATTCATGTGTAGTTCTTGACCTAGAAGTAGTCATCTTGCTTTCAGTCAATTGGATCATTGTTAGTGTTTTATTATTTTCTCGTTACCTCATAAATAAACATTAAATTTTCAGATGTTATATGTTAACATTCTGTTAATATTTATATATAATTTCATTTTTCCTAATATGTAACCTATGCTTTTAAGACAGATTTATTATTTTCCTCTTTTAAAAATTAGGTTTTCACTCTTACAAATTTTAATTTTTTCACAAAATGTTAACCATTAGCAAGCAGTATCTATATTTTTAAGAGGTCCAATTGGCTTGGAAAAGAATGGCTTTCCTGGTCTGGGTTTTTTTTTTTTTTTTTTTTTTTTTTTTGGTAGTATGTTTGTAATTTAAATCTATTATATTAATCTTATCTCTAACATAGTTTTAAAAATAGGTGTGTTTAGAGTGTAACTACTTTTTACGTACTTGATAAATTTATATTTTAAAAGTCTTACCTTGTTTCACACCCAGATTCCAACCATTAAGCATGTATTTTCTATATGTATCAGTATTCCAAATATTGAAGTCATTTTTAAAGGGACTGTTAACAAATCTAGTCACCCATAACTAGATCATGACTGACTTTTCCACAGGGGAAGAAGAGGTGAAGGTTTCGACCATGCCACTGTCAGCCTCTTCCCATTCATTACAACAAGGACAGCAGCCTACAAGTCTCCACACTACTGTGGCCTGACAACAGAACTGAGAGGAGAGGATTAGACTCTGGGGTGCTTGCATGGGCAACCGGATTTTGCATGATTCCTTTCTGATTTTGCATTTAATGTATACACCCAAAAGAGCCAATATAAACGTTCCTCATACCTACAACTAGTGTGTTACCTCATAGTTGCTCTAAAGTATTTCTTCATTAGGCCTTTAACATAATTTATTAGCATAATAACTTTGGCATTGTTTCTTATGAGTGATAATATTTTTAACTCATACAAATCAACTTATAAGTAAGATCCCAGATCAGATTAGTTAGAATTGTTCTTGTTTTGGCTCTATTACTGAAAATATACAAAGGTAATAATAGTTGTTTTCTGATTTGTGAAAAAATGGTAATATCTCCTAAAAATTTTGAAAATTAAGGTAATGTCTATTGCATTCTTTGAATATTTGAGAAGAAAGAATACATATAAAACAATTGGTGGTGTCATTTAATGCTCAGAAGGATGTTATCAGCACTTGTTTTTAATTGCCTAGATTTATATCCTATATAATGCATTACATGTGTAGAAACTGCTTTGTTTTCTCTCATTTGCACATTTGCACTTTCTTTTTGAATGGTTGTTAATTATACATAGATGGTTAAAATATAATTATGGCCTAAATGCAATGTAATCTCTTTTCTAATGCACTGCCTCGTGTACCAGGAAATGCCTCAAAAAACAGGATTTTAACTTCTAGCAAATTAATCAGAAACCTGAGTATGGGATAAACATTATATGTGAATAGCAGCCCTAGTAATAACATTTTTATTGAAACATTTTTATTGAACAAACAGTAGTTTGGTGAAATGTCTGTTTGGAAATTTCATTGTTTAATAACTGAAATGTGCTGATAAGACTAAGAGTGTGATCATAATGAGACTTAAGTGGAAGAAAAGAGATTGAGTGTCCTTTAAAATCAGGCCATGTGAGTTATAATAGATAACTTTAGTTACTCAGACAGTACATAATGTAAGATGCTGTTTTTGATATATTGAATTTCTTGAGATAGTTTTAAACATGATAATAAAAGAAACTAAAGTGAACTCAGTCCTGGGTAATGGACAAAAGCTGATTTAGGAAACATGACCATATTCTGCCTAAGTGAAGCAGCACCTGGGAAGAAAGGGAAAGTCGGAACTCCTCTTGAGATTTTTTTTAAAATGTGATAAAAATGATATGCCTTAATTTATTAAAAAAAGAGAAATTACTACAGGAGTGTTATGAATACCAAAAAGAACCTAGAGGTTTAAAACTATAATAAAAATACTCATTTGGAGATGATGTTAATGTTATATTAGGATTGGAGTTTGCAAGATAACTTCTCTATATAAAATCGGATTACTTTATGTTAGATATCATGCAACAAGTTAAATGGTTTTATCCCAAGAAATAGTGGAGCAAGATAAAATTTGTTCTCAAATATCTTTAGATTTGGTAAACTGAGGCTGCAGAAGCAGCTAGTGAGTCAATTAAGGTACATTTTTAAAAATCCAGCATTCGTATCTAATTTCCACATACAAGTGATTTTAAGATACTACCAGAAAATCACCAATTTAGAAAATACCCGTAGAATGTTATAGATTAGTAAGCATCAGCCTTTAATCATAGGTTAATTTACTTACAGTTTTCATTTTCAAATGAAAAGGCCAAGGCTTAGTTGCTGTCTCTTGCAGGGCTGAGGCCCCTGGGCACTGCTGTAAAATTTTGCCTCATCATAATGATGTCCCACTTCCAGTGTAAGTGTAAGCCTTTGCCTGAATCTTACAAAGCCATAGCAGCTGGCTAGCTCTTTACTCATTTCTTGGTGTTAAGAGATGGCACCTGTTAAGGCTTCTTTCCTGATCTTTCTCATTCATAATCTGTGCAAAAAACCTGTAAGTTTGCCCAGATCTATCCACAGTCTTGAGTGGATTTTCCAACGCAGTCTCCTGCCTGCTTCTTTCCACCTGCTTCCAGACACACCATGTATCAGGGAAATGAAGACTCCAACTTATCAATGTTTATGTAAAATGGCTACAAAGGATCTTTTAGTTCACTGTGTAATTTCTAGGCCTTGTAAGACTTCACCTTTTTGCTCCCTTAGTATTTCATTTCATATGGTTTTGTAGAAGTCTTCAGTCATGGTTTTACTCCAAAGCCCCATTTCGTGTAGAAATTGTAACCAAATAATAGCAGAGTGAGAAATCCTAAGAAGATTCTGTTTTTGATAAATTCCTGCGTGACTCACCTTTCACAGGGAAATTTTATAGATTTTTATATCCTTAACCTTTAAAAAGTGACTAGTCTTTTCCTTTAACATGGGCATTTTTAACCTGGAATCCAGAACTCTGAAGGTACATAAAAAATTGTGAGTTTGTGTACATGTACATACGTCCATTTAATTTTTCTGGGAGAGAAGATAGATTTGTAAAGAGTTTGGCAACATTTTCCCCACCTCAGGAAAAAAAAATAAAAGGGTTAATGACTGCTGCCTTGAAATGTTTTTAGTGCCATTGTAGGAAACAGATTCCTGATGGAATGATTTTAGTTGTATAATGTCAAGTGCCTCCTTAATTATTTTTTAAAGATTCTGTTAGAAAACATTTTTAGTTAATGATGCTTTCCTTCTTGTTCTACTGTTATTTGGTTTTCCAGGTGGTTTCCCTTTATTTCAACAAAGCATTCATTAAATATCTGAGTACAATGCTTGTTTTGTGTAGTGACCTGAGCTAGATGTTGAGGGCTGCAAGACTGAATAAAATACGGAGCCTGTCATCAGGGTGAATAGTCTAGTGGTAGTTCTTTTTCATTTTTTTTAAAAAATGAGATCAGGTTGATACTTATGAATCACAAGAACTGTCATAACAGTCCAGCTCATTTCATTACTCATCTCTGAGTAACTGCTCTGACATTGGCAACAAAGGTATTGAATGTGCTTCAAATTTTAAATACATGATAATTTGGAAGGAAGTGAAAAAAAATCTTAATAGGAGAATATGCATATGTATATTTGTTACTCTAATTGACATATATTTGTAAATGCTCATGTCTTAACATTCTGGTAATTAAGTAGAACCTTCTATATATGTGTTTATTTTTAAGAGAAAACTTTAGTATGTGTTTCCCGTGCACATTTTTACTGAAGTGGCTTCTATTTGTATGATATTCTAAAACCTCTTGTTTGCTGTGAGATAGGTTCACAGGGAGGTACACATATACACGCACAAAGATGTTGCTACAGGCATCAAAATCTTACACAAAGACTACCCTGTTATTTATGTAGATGTGCAAGCTTGGGGACTTTTTATGCTGGTATGTAATATTTTGGAGTTTTTTTTCTTTATGAAGTTTCCCAAGTCTGTTTAATTTTAGTGGATGGATACATGTGTTTATAAATACAGTAAGTTTTTCTTTTTAATTATATAATATGTGTCTTTATTTTACAAAACTGGCATAGTCAGATTATCTGATACCAAGCTATTGTTTTGCTCTTAGTGATGTGTGGCTCACTCTGAGTTAATATCTACTGTGTACCTCCCAGAACCAGGTAACTGGCAGTAATGTCTTAGGGCTCCATACATGTAATCTTCAGGGAGCAAATAGGTAGCATACCAATACAAAAGTAAAGGTAGCGCTTACAGAAAGAAATCATTGTGAGCTGACACACAAAGAAGCTTCATGAAAGTGTGGTAGTAAGATGAGTTAAATTTAGATGCGAGCAGGGGAAAATCGACCCTAAAGTGAAAGGGTTGAACCACTGACCAAAGCCAGCTATTAGCAGGGTCTAAAGGGGTTGCCAGGGGATGCTAAAGAGACACACTCAGTGGAGGTGCTGTATATGGGGCCTACTGACAAGCTAGGTATATAATGCCTTGGAAATTAGGAAGATGAGTTTAGTCTTGTTGTGACAGAGAACTATAGAGTTTAGAGAGAAATAACTTGATTGTAACATTTTTAAGAGATGCAGTTTGGTGATATTTGGATTGAATTTAGGATGAGTTGAAAAGTAGGGTTTACATACCATTGCGGCCAATGCAGGTGAGTTGGCCCAGTGTAGAATAGTACTTGTAGGATTGAAGAAGAAATTGTGAGTTAGAATTCAGAAAGCATGAACTCTGAGAAAAGGCCTTTAAGTTTGTTTGGGTGACTAAAAAATGTGTGTTTTATAAAAGGATGCAAAATGTCAGATTCCTGGGATCAAAATAATGAATATCTACATTTTTAGGACATGTGCCAAGGAAGGTGAAAAAGACAAGATGCTAACTAGAAGGATGGTAGATCTTAGAAGACACTGGCTGTGATACAAGAGGAGACCCGAGCATTTAAAGGCAGAGCATGTGAAGCCAGTGAGAAGGGGAGGTTGGTAGCACTAAAGTGAAGAGGCCAGTTAGCAGGACACTTCTTCAGGTGGTGGGAGTAAAACTCACAGGAGAAAGTTATGGTTTAGCTTTGGAGAGCTGGACTATATTTTTCTGTTAGCAGAGCAGTGAAAAGATTGTGGAAAGTGAGAAGATGAGAATAAGTAGCGCTCAGACTGCCTCCCTACCCTCAGTGCACCAAAAACAGGTTGACAAAAGTGTATGTGTACTAGCAGGTGGGAGGCTGAGCCAGGAGAATCACAGGTTGAACAAAGCATAGGCAAAATTATCAAAATGATCAGGGGTAGAGCAACCTGGAGTTTGGTCCCCAATACCTCAGTAAATCTTTGAGAATAAACTTGTCAGTGTATTTGAAATAAAGTAATTGCTGTGTAAAGATAAAAGTCCATTTAGAAATTTTTAGTGTGCATATATGTGTGGTTTTCATGTTCCCCTTGTTTGGCATAAAGACACTAAGTGTGGAAAAAACCAACATTGAAGGTTTGGATAGAAGGTGAAGAGGACAAGTACATAAAGATATTCAAGGAGGTGTGTTAAAATAGCTCATTAAGAATGTACTAAGGCTGTTCCCTGTGAACCAGTGGTGTGAGTGATTTGGAAGGGAATTTAATGACTAGATTTGTTGAAGACAGAAGAGGTTAATGTTGTTAAAGGAAGGACAGATAAAGAGATTGTGATCAGTGTGTTGACCTCTTGGTGCCAATCATGGGCCCCATGAGCAAGAAGCAAAGAAGGACTAATAACATTGTGATTGAAAGAAGGCAAGCTTAAGTAATCCTGTAGGGCTTCTGCTCTTACCCCATTGCGGTCCAGTCTTTTTGTGAGAATAAGAAGTCAGTCAAGAAAGAATTGTGGAAACAATGCTGTTGCTCTGGGGATTTCTTCCTCAAAGAATGGTGGGAGGAAATGGAGGTAGAGTGTTGGGGAGGGACTGAGAAAAATCAAAGATGAGATGAGACAGGTGTGAATAAGCCCAGTGAGTGCAAGGGATTGGTGGAAATATTACTTGTGACATGAAAAAATAAGGCAGAGTTAAGTGATGATGAGTTTGACAGTTGATGAGTCCATGTTATAGGTCAGCTACCTTGTTACAGATTCACAAGCCAAGTAAAAAGTTCTGCTACCAGCCCCTTAGGCTTTCTGCTTAGAAAGGGAAAGTTCTCTTTGTACGTAGTTGAATTAGGCTATTCTGCTTTATATAAATCAATTAAGATTAAAAGCAGTATGTTGGTGAAAGGTCGAGAGAAATTAAGAATTTTACTGTAGTAGGTAATAAAAATATTTCATTGATTTTTTTTTTTTCTTCCAAGGAGACTGTACTGTTCAAATAAGTAAAATTACAAGTTATTGGGCTCATCTACTCTTGATCCTTATTTTTTGTATACTTGCAATATAACCTTCAAGAAAAATTGTTGGAGATATTTATAGTAGAACAAGGATGAAAATAGTGTATTTTTTTTCCCTTGTCTCATTAACAGCCAATATTCCTAGTTTGGAAGTAACTGTAGTTTCCTGACACTTAAGTACTTTAAAACTCAACTGGACTTACTTCCATGTATGTCAGCTGAAATATTAACTGCAACATTTGAAAATGATGACACTTCAAATTATTAATCATTGCCCAAGAATGTTATGTTTGAAAAGCCATTGGTGGTTAAGAAGCCATTGTGCCTTGGCCTCCTTGCTTGTTTGTGACTTGCTTCCATGAATATTCTAGCCACTGTATCTTATTAGTTACACCATTTTACAGCTGCTAAAGAGTTCTTTCTAAAGAATTGCTCTTGGCAGTTCAGTATCCACAAAGGAGATCACTAAGAGTTCACTATGTTTTATGGTCTTTTAGAGCATCTGCCTTTGGTTATATCACCTTGCTGAGTAAATCTAAGTAATTTAAACCACTTGAAAATTGGACCAAAGTACCCAGAAGTTTAAAGAAAAAAAGCTAAGAATAGTTGACCTTGAGAACCATTCTTTCCAGGTTCCTGTATAGCACATTTTCTAAGGTAACTCCTTAGAAAATTCCCTGTCTTAGCCCTTTATTCTGTAGTTTGCAGGAAACTCTAAGCTGACACTTGAACATAACTGGGGTTACCACAAAGTTTTGACATCCCAGCTGCTGTTTAGTACTCATGTTCACTATTATGCTGTTAAAACAGAACTCAAACCTTTTCTATCCATATAGTTTATAAGACCTTTAAAATACTCCGTACTGCAAGGCATGGTAGTGTTACCCATAATCCAGCAGTCGGGGCTGAGGCAGGAGGGTCTCTATGAGTTCAAGACTAGACTGGGCTTCAGACTGAGTTCAAGGACAGCTTGAACTGTATAATGGGGTCCTCTCTCAAAAAACCAAACAGTAAAATACCCAGTACTTTCTTTTCAATATAGAGTTAGAATTCACATAAAATAGAATCAAATAATTGAAAGTAACCAGTTTACTGACCCAGCACTGGTCTTTACTTTTTTAAAGAGTAGAATAAAAAACCTGTCAAGAATTTGGCCCTTTCCTTGCTAGGACTTTGTAGTACTAACTGCATATAAACTCAGTATTTTACTTGGTAATCTGAAAGACAAATGGTAAACCTTAAAGTACTCCATTTAAACTTGTAGATCCAGCAACTTTTATACCTTCCCTGCTCTAAAAACAGCAAGGAGCTGTAAGCAAGAGACTCTTAGAGTATTGGCTTTCCTGAGTAGATAAAAATGTTTAAAACAAATGTCTGAATAGCTTTGAAGTAGGGTAGTGTTTTGGTGATATTTAATGCAAGAAAGGGGTTGCTTAGCTAGAAAGAATTTGCTTAGAACTGTAAGACTAGTTCTCTGTTTACATGTGTGGACAAGTGTATGTGTGTGCTAGTGTGTTTATTTATTGAAAGTAATTTTCACTTAAGTCCTTCACATAGTGAATGTAGCAGAGGAAAGTGTGTCAGGCCATTTCTCTGTGACTTCTCATAATTTATTACTGCTGATTTTGATTAATTCATGTTCAAGATTAATGCTGTATTAATTGTTGTATCCTCAATTTTTTTCTTTAAGGAAACTGACTATACAGTGAGGTTGTAGCTCACCCTGATCATGTTTTTTTTTTCTGAATAAATACTGTAGTTCATAACATTTTTTCATTAAATTCCGTTCCTAAGCATACTTATCCCATGTCACACGTTGGGAAAACCTATGAAAAGATTATTAAGAAAAAAATGATTGTATTGATTGAAATCATGACACTTGAGAGCTCTGATAGATATAACACTTTTTATTGTTAAAATGATAATTACGATTATAATAAACAAGATTCAGAAGGACTGTGATTTGTCTCTAGTCATATTCTAACCACAATTTAAAGTTCCGTTAGTTGTCACCATGTGAATTTGCATTTATATGTAAAATTCAGTAGAGGAAAGAACTCCAAGATTCATGGTATATCCCTTCTGTAAACACTGTTGTATCTTACAATTTGTTATAATGGTTTTCCTAAGCCAAGGGCTTTCCGCTGTGTATCAGTGCAAATAATGAATTGAAGGCTTTCAGTGTCCATGGTCTGGCAGCTGTTATCACATATCCTATAAGTTGTCAAATCAATCTTGTGTTAAGTGTGACTGTGTCTTGGAGTAAATTTAGGAAAGAAAAAAAATTGTAACTTTATAAGTATTCTTCATGTTGACTCAGTTATATTATTGCCAGTCACAGAAATAAGATAGTAAAACAGCAGTAGAATTTAACTCACAGGTTTTATCTCTAGTAGCAAAATACACTTAACCAATATGCAATAACCACTAGATTACTAACACCTTTAATGTTAAACAAAAGTTTAAAAAATGAAAAAAGTCTTGGAGTGACAGCATTAGTATGTCTTTTACTCACACTAACTTGTCCTTGAGAAAGTTACCCTATGCTGCGCCATGTAGAATGATAGCATATCTGCTGATTTCTTTCCAATCAAGGAAGTTATTTTAAGCATACTGGAACAGGGAAAGCTCCACAAGGATTTAAAGATAATATTACATTCACCATTCTGAAAAGAAAGTCAAGAAAGCTGACTAGTCAAAGTTATAATCTAGCCCTGTTTTCTGTTATGGCAGGATCATGTCCCAAGGACGATAGTAGCATTTGTATTCTGTTACCAGCCTTGAAGTAGAACATGGAGCTTTATTGGAACCTTTAATTCTCCTTAATTTATGTATTGACATTCACAAGAAGTCAAGCATCCTGAGGTTATTTTTTTCCTTTGTTACAATGATCAGTAGCCAGCCGAAAGTAAAGGAAGCCCTGAGTTATAACCTCATCAGCAATAAGAAGCATTCTTGTTGATCTTAACAAATTGTGTTATATGCCAATTTTCCATTTATGTTTTCTGTATTAAAAATGCCAGTTGTATTCAAGTTTTTGATTATGGCAGTTGCCTAGTATGTGCACAATTCTTGCTTCCATCCCCAGCAACATTCACACACACACATGATATTGTGGGTTGCTGGTCTATATGACTTGCTACCCTATTATCTATTTAGAGTAAGATTTGCTAGGTGGTATGTTTCTGTTTTGGTTCTAAATTGTTAATAAACTTCACTGTAGACACCTAGTTCCCAGATAGATTGGTGTAACCCATCTTACATTTCAGTCTAGTCTGTCCTACAAGGTGTAAACTCTTAAGACCATAACTGTATGTTAAATTGTAGGCATTATTTAATTGGAATGAGATATGTCACTGAAATAAGCACAGGTTTAATCTTTAAATGTGCACAAAGTCCCGCAACCTTTAATTTAAAGCAAGCTTTCAAGTTTTAATACTTGATCTACAAAAGTCTCCTTCTGGTAGCTTGTGCTTATCTGTCTAGTTTCTTTTTCCTTCTTTACACAAAGAAGAAATTATTTCTTTTTCCATGTAATTTACAACAATTAGCAGGGAGGTCACAGCTGCATCTTAGTATTTTCTACTGGATTCCATACAGGCCTGAATTGTTTCTTATCAAAGGAGAGAATTCTCTCGACCATGATGCTGTGTTCACGCTACAATTACTATGGTCACCAGACCTTGTATCTTCTTGGGAACCATTCTACTAGCCTTTTAGCTTATTTCCAAACTGGCTTATTGGTTTTTAGTTATCATATTCTTTATTCCTCTTTCTCTGCTCATTTATAACAACACATCAAAACAACACATTTAAACAAATAGTCTTGATCTTACAGCGGATTGAGGAGCAACCACTGTACTGTTAAAGTTGAATCAGTAAGCCAGGCATGGTGGCACAAGTCTGTAATCTCAGTACTCTGGAGACTGAAGCAGGAGGATCACTGAGTTTGAGGCCAGCCTAGGCTACAAAGTGAGTTCAAGGCCGGCCTGAACTACATAGTTAGATCTTATCTCTAAAGAAAAAAAGTTTAATCGATAAAGATTTTTAATGTTGTAATATTTGACATTTTTAAATGTACCCCATTTTTAATGCTACTCTTCAACTCTTTTAAACTTCATAAACAGTATGACTAAAATTCACAATTTTACAAATAAATGTAATTTTAGTAAAGTTTTCTGTAGTGAAATGTTAATTCTAATTCTGTATAAAGTTCCAGGGTATCAGAGTAAGAGTTACAATTTCTGACTTATTTATATTTAAAAATGTATTCATCTAATCTTCCTTCCCTCTTTCCTTCCTGCTTTCCTTCTTTTGCAGTAAGATTCAACATTGACTGAGAATTGGTTCTGTCAAGACCATCTCTGGCAATCTGTTCCAAATTCAACTATAATAAATCATAGCTAAGGATGAACATTTAAATATATATTTTAAATGATTTTAAACGAAGGCCCCTTAGTGGACAGCTGGTGAGCATATAAGTCTTTGAATTCATCAGAATCTTTAAAATGCTATCCTCACAGGAGTATCATCTTTTGTAGGTCTTGGAAGAATGTGTTAGTAGGACTAACTCTGTGCATGTGTGCGTGTGTACAAGTGTGCATGCATGTGTACAAAATAATCAGTTTAAAGTTTACAACTGTGTAGTGTAAACATTGTTGTAGTCAACACCGGGACATTGTGACTGGGACGAGATTTTCCAGAGGTGAATTTTAACTCCTTTTTAAATTGAGACATCATTTGAAAATTGGAAGTGAAAAAGTTTTCATTTATCCTAGTATATGAATAAATAGTAAGAATATAGAAGAGACAAAACAGTCCTTTTAAAAAGTAGTATTGTTTATAGGTTCACACCAAAATTGAATGAGAGACGGCAATTTCCCATGTACTTGTGCCCTTACACATTGCATGGTCTAGTCCATTGGCCACATCCCCATGGGAGTGCTAGAGTTGATGAACCTATACTGACAACACATTATCAGATTGAATCTGTAGACGCTGTGGGGTTCTGAAAAGCCTCTGTGCCCTCTGCCTGTTCATCTCCTTCCCCTCTGCCCCTAGCAACCACTGATCTTTATACTGTCACCATCGTTTCACCTTTTTTGGGATGTCTTATATTTGGGATCATATGCTGTCTAGCCTTTTCAGATTGCCTCCTCTTTTAATTTAGTAGTACACAGTTGAGTTTCCTCATGCCTCTTAAGCCACGTGTTTCATATACCTAAAATTGCTAAGTTCCAGTGTATTCATGTTTGCTTTGAAAAACATTTATTTTAAAGACCACCCTCAATATAAGCTTTATCAAATATCTCTTGGTGTAGGTAACTTATACAGTGAAAACAAATTTGTAAAGGTGTGTGATTGTCTTGTTGTATTGGAATTGTTTATTACCATGACTGTAGTCGTACTTGTTTCAGTAAGTTTTAGTTTAAAATAATGGGATTGTTATACCATTTTCTGAAATGTTTTTCCAAAATAAAGTAAATCATTTTAGTGTATGAAAACTACTTTCTAAACATAAAGCTCAATGGATGTTGTAACTTTGTTTTAAACATTTAAGATAATTCTACAATGACAGAAGCCATCTTTTAGAAAACGGTGAAACTGATGTCTTCACTGTTGAAATAAAAGTGGACTGTATAATCAAAATGCAGTTTAAACAAGTGGATTTGATGTTTTAAATAACTTCCAGATAATTTTAAAATTTTTAATTTGGAAAATTATGAACATCCAACATCTTAGGAATTTCAGCAGACATATAAGCAAAGACAGCAAAAAATACTTTGATTTAAATGCCAGCCTGAGGAGAAACCTATATTCCAATAAAAGTAATTTACTGACACAAAAAAATTCAAAAGCTATCATTGACTTTATTTGGAATAGCCAACCTCTAGGAACCCAGTAAATAGACAAAAAGCCAAGCAGAACAATGTGGCTATTTGGAGGCTCCTGCAGCTCCATAGAATATGGTACAGAATAAATATTCACTGAATATTCATTAAAAGAAAAGTGATAGGCTGATGCTATTTCTGGAGGCCTTCAAGGAAGGCTTTGTGTTAACAGACTTCTGAAAAGTATCTGAGAACCATTGCGTATCAGTTAAAACTTAGCTCTTTTAGTTCTGTTACATTCTGTGTTTGGATTTCTCCCACAACCCCAACTACATGATTATTCCTTTTCTTCTGTCTTTTTTACCTCTAAACTCAGTAAACATCAGCTCTTGGCTTTTTATTACTTTTCAACACCAACCCTTTTAAAATTTAACCTAGTAACATTTATTTTGCCATCCTGTTCATTTTTGTGATATTCAAAAATCTGTATATAAAAATATTAGTAAATTTCTTCTGAATGTATACACAATTCTGAAAGCCTCTGTAAAATACCTATTTTTCTAGAACTCCATGTACACTGCTGAACTGTTTAGGAGCTTGATGTTTGATCAGGTAGGAAGTTCTTCAGTACAATTTGTAATTATTTAAAAAAATTTCTTTTGGATAAATCAAAATTTCCTAATCTTTACCCATTTGTGCCTCTTGCATGTAGTTTGTCAAATACATGAAGATAGTTACCACTTGTCTAATAGTAGTAAAGCCTGGATATATCTCACACATCCATTCTTTCAGTGTAACTTGATTAGCAGTCATCCTTGTAGTTTCCTTTGTGTTTTGATTTGACAGTACCTTTCTTAAGATGTGACTCTCACACTTGAATGTAATCACATAATCTACTTTTTTACTAAAAGCCATTCTCATACTAATTCTTTTTTATGTTAATAGAATCTTTTTATAATACCTTCTTGTAAAACAGATATTAATCTCTTTTATAAATCAGGAAACTAAGGCTCAAAATGGCTACTGTTTGTGATTTTCACCGAGCCATTGCTAATTTGTACACTGCACATCCTTTTTTTTTTTTTTTTTTTTTTTTTTTTTTTTTTGGTACCAAGAATCAACACAGTGTGCTTATATCTACATGTTCTTAGTGTCACCTTTTTATAAATTTTTGTTACCCAGTTGTCTTATAAGATATAGCCTGTTAAATAAAACTATTAGGCCTTTCTCCATGTATACTACTTGTTAGATCTGTTCGATCCTGTAATTTCTTATGCATTGTTAAAATCTGATTTTATGCTTGTTTTATGTGATTTGATTTTCTGTGGTAGATAAATGTTATTAATGATACTTTGAATGACATTTGTATGAAGAACGTAAGAATTTTAGTTTAAAAACAGGTGTAGTTTCCATTATTGATTCTATTGTCTATAGAATTGGCTTGTTTCATAGCTAAATAAACTTTGTGGATTTTGTTAAGTATAGTAGAAAGCATAGAATCAGACATTAACGAAGCAGCATCACACAGACTTTTTAAGACTGAAACAGTTTCCCAAGTTCTGTGTAAATTCATCTGAACATGATTGCTGTCTGTGCTATACTTAGGCTTCTTTCAGCAAAGGAGAATCATCAGAGAACTTAGCAGAAACTGCTGAATTCAAAATGTATTACACTTTTTGCATCCAGAGAATAAATTACTTTCATAGTCTTGAATCTTCATGAACATTTATTTTAGCTCTCATGGATCACTCTTCCTATTCTTTCTTGAGATTGATGTGTCAGTGAGATGGAAGAAGAACTAGCTATGAAATCTGTAGCTCAGCAGGCTACAGACAGTGAGACAGAGTATGCCCCAGTTTGTAGAATGAGAATATTTACAACAGAAGACAGTTGTCAGTAGAAGCTCCCTGTTACATTTTTATCTATTTCATTTGGAAAGGAGCTGAGGACCTAGCTATAACATCAAATGTTATTGACAGAGAAATGCCCCAAACGAAAGTGGGTAGAATAGTGGTTGATAGGCTAGGCACACAACATAAACCTGCAATCCCAGTTACTCCAGTGGCTGAGGCAGGAAGATTC